CCACTTGCAACATTAAAGCCTTTGGTTTTCCGAAGCCTAGTTCTATTAATTAATCATATAGTGAAAACGGCTTGCGTGGAAAAATAGGCAACAAATAACCTTTCGTTTTTGTTAGGCAAAATCCATGTGTTATCTTTAGCAGCCAGTCGTAAATTTCCTTTCATTTTACTTAAAATCGATGTAATTTTCAACCCTCTTCGAGGCTTGTATGCGAAAATAATAATAATAATAATAATACTCTCCCTAATTCACCCCCTTACGAGTGAATTTCAACCCCTGAAGTCGACTGAACGACTTGGGTAGGGAAAGGGATGGCTATTATTATTATTTGCCGTGACGCTCCGGGGCGACTTAAAGATGATTGATGGTGCCATTTGACTTACAGGTGAGGAAAACCCGGAAAACCTCACCCATCATCATCGAGACGGTAATGTATGGTGAATTTTTTTAATCTGCATGTCATATCAACAGAAATTGAATTTCTATTAATACGTCACACATCAAATCCTAAACCGAACCATGCAATTTAATTAAAAATCCACATGGTCTGGTCTGGGATTCGAAACCCAGCAGTCTCGGACTCATAAACTTGCCTATAAATGAATATAAGCGCGATAGACCGCTACACCACCGTCCCGAAAATGGGGCACCTAAACTTGTCACTATCTGACGGATTATTATTACTACCAAACGTTTCATATGTAACTATGGCAGCCATCTTCAACGAAGACTGAATCCTCCTTCGTTTCGAGTGCACGTTGTTTTTGGGCGTGACTGGTATTAGGCGATTTTATTTTTGTGCTTTTTACCTTCCTATCTGTATACATATAAGGAAAGTATAGGAATCATGATTTTTAATGATGTGTGCCAGATCCTACGTAATGTTTTTTCTTCATTTCCATTGAAGTTCTTTTAATGTTTGTGTCTTTCTATAGCCTTCAAGTAATATCTTAATGTTGCTGGTAGCTCGGTATTTTACAAAAGCATCTTGTGTTTTTCGTCGGATAATGTGTGTTCGGCGACTACAGATTTTTCGATTTGTCCCGGAAACAATTACATTGACCCGGCCGTGAAAGCCTACATAGTAAGTATATTCAATTTCGTTTACTAAAACCATTCCAGGCTAAATAGTCTAAAGTGTATTCTTTGTGCTGATAAAGCTAATAAAAGTGTAGATTAAAGGGAAAGATAATCTAAGAGAAGGGTGGCTAATGGTGATGGTGAAAATCTCCTAAAGAAACGTGTTAAATTTGTTTTAATTTTAAGTTAATTTCGAATAAGTGCCTAGAGCCGTATCTGCTTTTACTTTATTATAACGGTGACTAGTCCATATCTGTGTCTTCAACATGATGAGATGACAACTCAAAAGGAAGAGGAATTTTTATTGGAAAACGAACGCCGCCTTTTTCCAACGCTACCGAAACGCTATAATATCCTCGTTCTTCACATACCTCATGCGTGCTTAGCGGAATAACGGATGCTTTTTTGCGATTTATGTTTATCAAACTTGGTGTAAATTACACCCTTTTTTATTTCCCAGTAGACAGGCTAATAAAATCGATTAGAGCATGATGAAGCTAATTGAACGCGAGCGTGCACAAGAAGATGCCGCGAAGATGTTTTAAAATATTTCAATATAAATTGAAAACAGATGTTAGTTATTTTTTTAATAACTAACACACGTTCTTCATTATTGCACATATAAATACAAAATATTATTAGTATATACAAAAATTTATATCGTGGTATATATATTTTTTGTTGTTGTTGATAACTGCCATGATTATTTAACATTTTGAATTAGTGTCTAATTAATAATTGTAAGGACAGAGTCTCCAAAGGATTTGCGGTCAAATTCTGTACTGCGGGATTGCCTAACCAGTAGTGCCTATAGTCAAATATTTGGTAAAATAATCTACACGCCAAAATGAATTATCGATCCGTTGAATTTGTTATTTGCTACTCACGGAGTTCTTAGCGTAGAATCATTTCTATCTGGATACGGAAACGAGGGAAGATCAATATTTTAGTACCAAAAAAAATAATATGGTTATATTATTTGTTTTATTTAAATAGTAATTACAAAGCAATAAGTAATTATATAATTATTTATTTTTAAAATTTTTTAAAAACGAGTTTTTTATTTGTATTTATTAATTCTATATACCTACATACTGATTGCTAGATCCATGTTTTCAAAAAAACATAAATTTCATTTTTTTAAATACGGAGAAAATTTATAATCACCTATAATTAAATGACCGATTTTCGTTTTAGCTGAAAACGAAATATTTAGATTTATAAAAATGATGTATATACCAATAATAAAGGAATGGGCAGAGCTTGGGACTTTGGATTCGGTGATTCGGGTTTAAATCCCATAATATTTGATGGCGTATATATCGTTGACACCTGTGGAAATAAATATTTACCTCTTACATTGATTTTAAAAGAATTTTTAACTCCATAAGATAGAAAAACAAATTGCTCTCATTTTCATTGTTTTACAATATAAGAAATATAAGATACAAATTTAATAAATACTGGAATTGATTTCACTTTCCGTAAGTAGGTATTAAGTACCTAAGTCCAGACAATTTATTATTATAATACTTATTATAAGACTTAGAGGATCAAAGAAGTAGTTATTTAATTTTAAAATTCATAGTAAATCTTATTAAAATATTAAGAAAAAAAATAATTTAATTTACTTAATTTAAAACTAAAAAGTGGTACTTTTATTAAAGGTGTATATTTATAAAGGTTTTATTTATTTTCAACACTTTAAAATTTTAACACATTCGATTATGAAGTTACCTACGTGAAGATTATCTTTTTCTATATCGTTGATGTAAATTTTTGTTATTTACTTATACACTATCCTGTTGGGATAGGAAAGTAAAAGAATAATAGGTAAAATAAACTATCATATGGGGATTATTTTTTTAGAAGCAAGTGATCTAATTTATAGGTGTTTCTATTTTATCTCTATTATAATATCTATATACCACAGTACCGAAAATTAATCTAGTGACTAGTACTCTCCGTCGATACCGAATCTTAACTACCACAACATAAAAAGACTACTATTGTTACTATCGCAGTTGTATCTGCTTATAATAGTAACTCTATTCATTTTCGATACTGTAATATAAACTATTTTAAAGTTAAAATATTCAAAAATTAAAAAAAGAGTACATCGTATTTATTATTAAAATTCAACTTATTTTTAAAACCCTCGTATGTAAACTCAGCTGCTCATCTAATTGTTTCGCAATATCATCACTCAACAACATAACCAAATTCAACCAGGCGATCATTGCTCGACTGTAAGTTAATATCACACATTCTATATTCTTTTTGTCATTTTATTAACTTATTTTAGTGTAATTATTTTTTTTAAATACAATATATTTTAAAAAAGAAAACATTTAATGTTATCAAATTTTAATTCGTTTTTATGCTGTAAAAGCATAAACGAAATGTAATATCTTTTCGATCCATCTATGGAAGCAGGGATGAACTAACTATTGATTATTTTCTGAAAGTGAGGACGCCATTTTTAGTCCAAATTTTTTTTAATAATGGATTACACATAAAATGCAACTCAATTTTCATTTATAACTATTTCGGAGGTCTGAGCCTTTTCGTATTTTCCGATTGAACGATTTGATAGGAAAATGTTTAACTTAGGTTTTATTTTCAGAAAATTTATTGAATTTGTAGTTTATTCTTACAATGAAAAAGGTCTAAATATAGACCATTTTCTACCACAATTTTTTAGTTAAAAACAATTAATTAAAAAAAACAATGCCTTAACCTAAGTTGGACCTTTAACTAAAATTAAAAAAAAAATAGTACGATATACGGTATAATTACGGAAATTGTTACAATTAACTTTTGGTTTGCAGACGCCATTCTAATGCACAAGGATACTCTGTCCTTAAGAGCGAAATGTGAAACATATGGAACTGGAGAGAGAAAGTAACACTCGCAGCGTAGCGTAACGGAGCGCGAACGAACTTTTCGCTCCAAATGCACACAAGATTTTTTCTACGATCACATTATTTTAAGAAAATATCAAATGAATTTAATTGCAAATAGCTTACTTTAAAAGTCTTAGAAAATTGCATATCGTGAATCTTTCTAGTGGATATTGTTTATAAATATGGTGGTTTAATTTCGCCAGGAAATAATAATTATATTGTGAAAATATGGTAGAAATTATTTTTAATTTACTAAATATATTCATTTGCCTGCAACAAAGCTGTCAGTTTTGTCGCATGGTGAGCGACAAATGCTGCGTTTGAATATCCACATCGGATGCATCTGAAATGTGAATTTTTTATCACGTGATCGGGAATTAGATATAAATGTAAACTTTATTGGTCACGTGATAAAATGACAATGATAAGTTAGAAGTTTATACTTTTAAATTTGACTTTTGAGACTAGAAATCAACTTAAATTTGAAATCTAAACAAAAATTAAACAAATTAATCACTTTTATGTTCTCGCTAGCATAAACAAAGGATAAATCGATAAATCTGGCTTCACAAAACACCTACTTTCTGACATGGAACGAACATCTCATTCACATTTCATTTGAAATTGAGATGTAAAAAATGTAATCTGGAATACAATGTAATCTGGACATATACATCTCGGATACACAAACACAGATGTAGATGTATAGTAGATATGTCCAATGTGGATAAACAAACGCTCGAGATGTAAAAAATGCATCGGATTTGGATATTCACACGCGGCAAAAGCTGTCACTTAATGTGAGTTCGCGGAAAATGTCAACTTTGCTGTAAGATTTCGAAGCGCAAAAGCCTACTTTAGATAGCCATTACCCAGACTAAACATTAAAAACGACACTAATAAATTTCCCACAACGTTAAACAAAGTAGCTATCTTATGAAAAATAGAACTTCTGATTTAATTATTCACTTGAATTACTTGAACTTTTTTTAATTCAGACATTCTTAATTTCAGATGACCATTCTGATTATGGCAGCACTGTTAGCGGCAGTACTGGAAAATCACCGGGTCCAGTATTTCCAGCACCTACTTTTACATTTCCAGGGCAAATGTCGTCCGGGACAGTCCTCACACATAAAGCAGCTGTTTACTATCATCACCAGCTCAGCCTGCAAGAGGATCAGGGTATTGATATGACGCAGGTAAATAAAAATATTTTTTTAATGAAAAGCTATCATGTATTTACTAAAATTCGTTAAGCTTCTCGAAGTACTTGTTCAGAACAGCTTTAAGATCAATGTGTGTTTCTACTTTCTACCTCATTGGTATTTTACTTACAGATAAAAAAATTACAAATAAATAAAAAAAGTTTCTTAACAATTAAACGCATTAGTCTTAAGGTCTGATTGTTTCCGTCAATGAAATGATAATAGAATTATAATTTTTGTACAAACACAAGTCTAAGATTATGCCAAATTAATATGTTGCCTACTCTTCCCATCCATCGTACTTCTTCAAGCTTCTTTCTTTTTTCCACTTTATGGATTTATTTTTTCTCTGTCTCCATTCTATGGTTTTCTTTAATTTACTAGTTTACTAGTTTACTAGTTTACTAGTTTACTAGTTTACTAGTTTACTAGTTTACTAGTTTACTAGTTTACTAGTTTACTAGTTTACTAGTTTACTAGTTTACTAGTTTACTAGTTTACTAGTTTACTAGTTTACTAGTTTACTAGTTTACTAGTTTACTAGTTTACTAGTTTACTAGTTTACTAGTTTACTAGTTTACTAGTTTACTAGTTTACTAGTTTACTAGTTTACTAGTTTACTAGTTTACTAGTTTACTAGTTTACTAGTTTACTAGTTTACTAGTTTACTAGTTTACTAGTTTACTAGTTTACTAGTTTACTAGTTTACTAGTTTACTAGTTTACTAGTTTACTAGTTTACTAGTTTACTAGTTTACTAGTTTACTAGTTTACTAGTTTACTAGTTTACTAGTTTACTAGTTTACTAGTTTACTAGTTTACTAGTTTACTAGTTTACTAGTTTACTAGTTTACTAGTTTACTAGTTTACTAGTTTACTAGTTTACTAGTTTACTAGTTTACTAGTTTACTAGTTTACTAGTTTACTAGTTTACTAGTTTACTAGTTTACTAGTTTACTAGTTTACTAGTTTACTAGTTTACTAGTTTACTAGTTTACTAGTTTACTAGTTTACTAGTTTACTAGTTTACTAGTTTACTAGTTTACTAGTTTACTAGTTTACTAGTTTACTAGTTTACTAGTTTACTAGTTTACTAGTTTACTAGTTTACTAGTTTACTAGTTTACTAGTTTACTAGTTTACTAGTTTACTAGTTTACTAGTTTACTAGTTTACTAGTTTACTAGTTTACTAGTTTACTAGTTTACTAGTTTACTAGTTTACTAGTTTACTAGTTTACTAGTTTACTAGTTTACTAGTTTACTAGTTTACTAGTTTACTAGTTTACTAGTTTACTAGTTTACTAGTTTACTAGTTTACTAGTTTACTAGTTTACTAGTTTACTAGTTTACTAGTTTACTAGTTTACTAGTTTACTAGTTTACTAGTTTACTAGTTTACTAGTTTACTAGTTTACTAGTTTACTAGTTTACTAGTTTACTAGTTTACTAGTTTACTAGTTTACTAGTTTACTAGTTTACTAGTTTACTAGTTTACTAGTTTACTAGTTTGCTAGTTTGCTAGTTTGCTAGTTTGCTAGTTTGCTAGTTTACTACTTTACTAGTTTACTAGTTTACTAGTTTACTAGTTTAGTAGTTTACTAGTTTACTAGTTTACTAGTTTACTAGTTTACTAGTTTACTAGTTTACTAGTTTACTAGTTTACTAGTTTACTAGTTTACTAGTTTACTAGTTTACTAGTTTACTAGTTTACTAGTTTACTAGTTTACTAGTTTACTAGTTTACTAGTTTACTAGTTTACTAGTTTACTAGTTTACTAGTTTACTAGTTTACTAGTTTACTAGTTTACTAGTTTACTAGTTTACTAGTTTACTAGTTTACTAGTTTACTAGTTTACTAGTTTACTAGTTTACTAGTTTACTAGTTTACTAGTTTACTAGTTTACTAGTTTACTAGTTTACTAGTTTACTAGTTTACTAGTTTACTAGTTTACTAGTTTACTAGTTTACTAGTTTACTAGTTTACTAGTTTACTAGTTTACTAGTTTACTAGTTTACTAGTTTACTAGTTTACTAGTTTACTAGTTTACTAGCAATGTATGTTTATTACTGTTGCATTTTGCGCTATCCATTCTTTTGTTTTAGAGTCTTTAATGACTTCTCAAGTCTGTATTCCTATGTACTTCACACTTACTTTAATTAGTGCCACGTTTCTCTAACATTCATTGATTGATTCTTGTCAAGGATTTTTAAATTTAAAATTTAGGTCTGAGCTTAGTTCAGTATTGCCAGAATTTTATTCAATATGATTGATTTTGACTGACTATTAAAAAGTTTTATTCATACTTGAAGGATTTTAAAGCAAAATTGTATAAACTCCTAGACAAAATTAACGCACCACTTTAATTAATCTAAATATTTACAATATAAACACAACATAAAACTAAGTTACATTGAAATAATGATGACCTTAACTTGCCTTATTTTTTCCATAAAAATTTGTTTTTGCTGGAAATGCATAAATAAGCTAGCATAACTCCAAATTGAAAAAAGAAAAAAATCAGTAAAAGAGAATAAATGCATCTGGGTCAACCCTAATACCGCGTAGGCCCTCTTCTACTTCTTATCACTGCATTCATGCGTCGCGGCATGCTTGATATCAAATGTTCAACAAAAGCTTGCGGTATATTCTCCCATTCTTCAATAGCGACCTCTATGAGTTGGTTGTGACTTCGAATCCTCTTTTTGAGATAGTCCCATAGATATTCTATAGGATTCACATCCGGACTGTTAGGTGGCCACTCTAATAAAGGAATATTAACATCATATAAGTAACCAATAATCTGTCTAGCCACGTGGGGACAAGCGTTGTCCTGCATGAATAAAAAATTGGGCCCAACAAACGGAGCAAAAGGCATTACATGTTCGACAATAATGTTGTCCAAGTAATATTAGGCATTCATAGACCTCGTACGTATAGGAACCAACCCCGTACGAGCATCGAAGCAAATTCCTCCCCAAAACATTTTAGAGCCACCACGAAAAGGCACTTTAGGAGATATATTACAGCTGGCAAACCTTTCTCCTTGTCTTCGCCAGACACGCTCACGTCCATCTGGAGCTTTAAGGCTAACTCTAGTTTCATCGGAAAACAGAACCCGTTTCCAATCATTGATGGTCCAATTCTGATGTAGTCTTGCAAAATTTAATCTCTGAACTTTGTGTTCTCTGGTAAACAAGGGTTTTTTTGGCTGGTCTTCTGTTGCTTAATCCTGCTTCATGTAAACGTCTTCTAACCGTTCGAGACGATATAGTGATATTTCGAACATCTGCTAATTCATTTTTAAGCAGATTGCTGGTTACCTACTCTCCTGTCTCTAAGAGCACGTTGTCTCAAAAAACGATCATCAGTTTGATTAGTGCAACGTTTTCGCCCTTGTCCTGGTCTTCGATGGTACGAACCCGTTTCATTATATAAGAAAATGTTAACACAGTTTTAGTCTAAAACGAGGTTTAATACAAATTACTGTCAAAACAAGGTATTACGTGACACTAGCTAGCTTAAAAAACAACTGTCACTGTCAAACAATGTCAATGGCCTACTTGTCGTACAGTAAGTTATTAATAAATAAAGTTTATCGAGCAAAATATAAGTGATGCGTTAATTTTGTCCAGGAGTTTATTTAGCAATTATTCCAAATAATGTATTATGAGGTCTATCGAATCGAGCGAATACGACTTTCGCCATCTATTTCATCTGGTGTCATAATTTTTTCACTATTTTGTAGTGCCCGCCACTGTTTTAAAAGATTTTGGCGACTCACATGAGGAAAGTGATCAAAAAATTCTGGCAACACTGACTTAGTTTCCCAAAAGCAAAACACCTAACTGTATCCCACCACATACTAGAGAAGCTCGGTGTAGTTGTAGCACCATTTTACTCATTTGCAGAGTACCGTTTATTTTCTAAAACATTGGAACTATATTAATCACTGGTGCAACTGTCTTTAGTGACATATCAAATAACGTAATGTTTTATAGCATAGGATATTTTCAAAACCTGTAATAAAATTATTAATTATTTTGCAGTACATTTAAACATACACATACCTCCACAAAACGAGCCTTAATAAAAATATTGCTTTTACAAAAAAAACCGGTTCATTCAAAATTAAAATGTCTGGTTCGTTTCCCCAGTTCACAAGCCTTTTTTAAACTCTCAAAGGTAATACAAAAATGTTTCGGAAGAGAAGCGTAAATGAAATAATATTATTTCTCGCTTTTCTATTCTGTCAATACTTTGTCGAAGGGTAGCAACCGCATATATTCAGCGAAATTACATTTGAATATAAACTGGTGAAAACTCGATTTTTATTGAAACAATTCAACGTATCGAGTTTGATATTAAATGAAGCCAACCGATTCGGGGCTTACTTGAAGTGGTTAGGAAGGAATAAATTGCTTCTTACTAGACAACACACTCAAAAGTAGTTGAAGTGTTATTTCCTGAATCGAAAATTGCAATAATAAAAATTTACATAATCATTACACTATTTTGTTTTTAGAGTCCCGGAAGAGATAGTCCAGGATCGTCCAGTGGTAGCGCGGGTTCCGGTTCTAGACATAGTACGGCATCTTTAGATAGCGGCAGAGCATCATATCATCCTCTTAGTACAGCTGGAAGAAGCACTATTGGTTCCTCGAATAGTCCAAGATGTTCCTTAAGCTCCTGTTCGATTGGCTCAGATCAAGGCCGAATTGAGAGAATGATTCATCAGGGAATTCCAGTAAGAATATTTTTAATTAAAACTTTTATTACACGAACTATTACAAGAACTATTACAAGAACCATTACAAGAACTATTACAAGAAATATTACAAGAACTATTACAAGAACTATTACAAGAACTATTACAAGCACTATTACAAGCACTATTACAAGAATTATTACAAGAATTATTACAAGAACTATTACAAGAACTATTATAAGAACTATTTATTACAAGAACTATTACAAGAACTATCACAAGAACTATTACAAGAACTATTACAAGAACTATTACAAAAACTATTACAAGAACTATTACAAGAACTATTACAAGAACTATTACAAGAACTATTACAAGAACTATTACAAGAACTATTACAAGAACTATTACAAGAACTATTACAAGAACTATTACAAGAACTATTACAAGAACTATTACAAGAACTATTACAAGAACTATTACAAGAACTATTACAAGAACTATTACAAGAACTATTACAAGAACTATTACAAGAACTATTACAAGAACTATTACAAGAACTATTACAAGAACTATTACAAGAACTATTACAAGAACTATTACAAGAACTATTACAAGAACTATTACAAGAACTATTACAAGAACTATTACAAGAACTATTACAAGAACTATTACAAGAACTATTACAAGAACTATTACAAGAACTATTACAAGAACTATTACAAGAACTATTACAAGAACTATTACAAGAACTATTACAAGTACTATTACAAGAACTATTACAAGAACTATTACAAGAACTATTACAAGAACTATTACAAGAACTATTACAAGTACTATTACAAGAACTATTACAAGAACTATTACAAGAACTATTACAAGAACTATTACAAGAACTATTACAAGAACTATTACAAGAACTATTACAAGAACTATTACAAGAACTATTACAAGAACTATTACAAGAACTATTACAAGAACTATTACAAGAACTATTACAAGAACTATTACAAGAACTATTACAAGAACTATTACAAGAACTATTACAAGAACTATTACAAGAACTATTACAAGAACTATTACAAGAACTATTACAAGAACTATTACAATAACTATTACAAGAACTATTACAAGAACTATTACAAGAACTATTACAAGAACTATTACAAGAACTATTACAAGAACTATTACAAGAACTATTACAAGAACTATTACAAGAACTATTACAAGTACTATTACAAGAACTATTACAAGAACTATTACAAGAACTATTACAAGAACTATTACAAGAACTATTACAAGAACTATTACAAGAACTATTACAAGAACTATTACAAGAACTATTACAAGAACTATTACAAGAACTATTACAAGAACTATTACAAGAACTATTACAAGAACTATTACAAGAACTATTACAAGAACTATTACAAGAACTATTACAAGAACTATTACAAGAACTATTACAAGAACTATTACAAGAACTATTACAATAACTATTACAAGAACTATTACAAGAACTATTACAAGAACTATTACAAGAACTATTACAAGAACTATTACAAGAACTATTACACGAACTATTACAAGAACTATTACAAGAACTATTACAAGAACTATTACAAGAACTATTACAAGAACTATTACAAGAACTATTACAAGAACTATTACAAGAACTATTACAAAAACTATTACAAGAACAATTACAAGTATTATTATAAGAACTATTACAAGAACTATTACTAGAACTATTACTAGAAATATTACTAGAACTATTACATGTACTATTACAAGTACTATTACAAGTACTATTACAAGAATTATTACTTGCAAAAACTATTACTTGCAAGAACTATTACTTGCAAGAACTATTACTTGCAAGAACTATTACTTAAAAGAACTATTACTTACAAGAACTATTACCTACTTAAAATCAAAAAAGTAGTATTCTTAATATTATAATAGGAAATAATTAACTAGTAATAATAGATGATAAACCTTTTTTTTCTAATTTTGACATACGAAGTGACATTTTTTGTAATCTCAGTAAGTGTCAAAATGAACTACTTTACGTAACTGGTTACTTAAAGAGAGGAGAATGACTTACGAGTCAAATGTTTACATTGAAACAAATATTTAGAAACTGAATCTTTATGCTTATAAGAAATATATCTGAAAACGTTATAGTCCGGGAAACATTGATAATATTTTTGGTACAAAATTTATAGTCTAGATATCAATATAAAATAAAATGAAAAACAATTAGGCATTCCAACCGTCTGTCCAAATGGCTACCTGTCGGGACTGACAGTTTTGATATGGCAACCCTGTTGTCATCTTGTCATTAACAGGGTCAATGATACATATATAGTAATATAGATTGCTCAGAGTGGGTCGTTTGCGAGCGGCCATATTGCCTGGCAAATATTTATTAATTTGAATCGGTTTAGCAAAAATGTGTTTTAAAACCAATTTTTAGCCTTTGGATATTTAAAAAAAAAATTATTGCTTACATTTTTACTTCAAGGTATAAGCTTATGTTTATTTTGAAAAATATGGATGATCAATCTAGGTAACTATCTATTTCATTGACCTTGTCAAATCACCAGGCCTACAGGGTTACCATAATTTTGCCATATCATATCCTGTCAAAATCCACTGGTAGCCATTCAGTTTGGAATGCCTAATTATTACAACTTCCTGCTCTCTGATTGAAAACGTCAAGTAAAATTTTAAAAGCGATACTTCATTGAAGTATGACGTTTGACACACGTCAAATAACATAATATCGACTCATGCAACGAAGACTATAGTAACTCATTTTTTGAAGTTTTTGAGTTACAATTATCCAGCTCATATATTTACCAAAAGCTTTGACCTGGAAAAGTATAGTACGTCTAAACGAAGAGGTTAGATAACCAAAAATACTACCATAAAATATAGTATGTCACTTTAGGCCAAAAAATTCTACGAATACAATATTATCTTAGATTTTTTCAAAACTATAAATAATAAGTTACTATAGTCTTCGTTGCATGAGTCGATATGTCAAACGTCAAAAATATTACGCCAAACATTAAAAATATTGCTTAAAATGTCAAAACCCAGACAACACACCAAATCCCAGAGATATCCGCAGAATATCTTTTGTGGATATCCAATATATCCACATGATATCAGAAATATTCCGTGGATCTAATATGGATATCCAAATGTCCGTCTATATCCAGGATATAGAAGATATCCTAATGGATATTCAGCAAAATATCTAATTGGTATCTTCCAGAAAATACAAGAAATCACAAAAATATCCACATAATATATTTTGTGGATATTCAATATATCCAATATGGATATCCAACCAAATGTCCGTCTATATCCCAGGATATAGAAGATATTCGGATATTCAGCAAAATATTTTATGGGTATCTTTAGTAGAGGTTCATAAGTAACCAATGATTATTGAATAACGTCGAAAGAAAATAGCAGAGATAAAAAATATTTTCAACACTCAAAATATTTTCAACACTCTGCCTTTGATTTTGCCCACTAAGGAGAAAGTCATCCTTATTAGGACTCTTCAGCAATAAATGAAAATTCTCGACTCCAGTCTCTAATGGAGTGATTAGGACACACATTTCGATCGAACTCAATTACGGCGGGTCGAGCATGAGTACATGCGATAGTGGTATCGCCATCTGTACTTAGTAAGCAGAATCAAATAACATCTAGTGGATATCCACGATGGTTTGCGTTCGCGCCTAAACTTTGATATATTTAGTGGATGTTCATGGGATATTGAATACACCTTTTTTTTTTTCCTGGGCTCGTCTGACTATGTGTCTCCGAATAACACTGAAGCCTATTGGCTTATTGTGCTTTACCCCATGTTAGTTCATAGCACCCACTCTATCACCTTTGTACCTTCTACAAGTTTGTACAGATCCTTGGGTGAGTGGATTCTATACGTTGTTGGATCAACCTGGGGTTGTCCAAAAAGAGCCTGTATTTTGCGATCTAGAGCTTCGCATTCGCACAGTATGTGTTTGGCCGTTTCTGGTTTCTTGTGACATAGTCGTCACATGAGTTCCCCATTGTACATGCCAATTTTGTTCAAGTGTCCCTTTACTGGGGCGTGCCCAGTCATGAACCCTGTTATCACTTTCAACTGGTTCCTATTCATTAAGAGTAGTTCTCCAGTTCTTTTGGGACATGGTCTGCCTATGAAGGCTTTTCCATGTGCCTGTTTTGGGGTGCTTCCCCAATAGTTGATATGTTGTTCCCGAATCCAGTCATTTATAAAACCCCGGACTGTACTTTTTGGTACTCCTGGGTTTGTGTCTGGTTCCGGTGTTTCTTCTGACCCTCTTTTTGCAAGTTCGTCAGCCTTTTCGTTGCCTTCGATCCCTTTGTGACCTGGCACCCAAAATAGTTTTACTCTATTTCGGTCTGCCAGTGTTCTTAGTTCTTCGATGCATTCCCATACTAGCCTCGACGTAACTTTCTGACTCGATATGGCCTTAAGTGCCGCTTGGCTGTCTGACATTATTTGAATATGCTGATTTTCGACTGCTCTTTCATTGTTCGTTTTTGCACATTGCAAAATTGCGTATACCTCGGTCTGAAATACCGAGGAATGTATTCCTATAGCATAGCTATGGTTAGTATCAGGGTTTTTGGAGAATACTCCTGCCCCAGTGCCTTCCGCAGTCTTAGACACGTCTGTATACCAGGTTTGTTCCTGTCGTTGGGCATTGGGCTCTCTTATGGTGATCTCCGCTCTTTCCTGTATTAAAACCTCAAAGAGAGTATTAAAAGAGTACCTCTTGGTTATGTGGTCTGATCTCATGTCTAGCACGTCTCCTGTCACTAATCTTGAGATACTCATGTGACCTGGCCTAATGTCAAGATTTCCCAGTGTATTCCCTAATCTGTAAGCACCTAATGTTGCCTCCCCTTGTATCACATAGTGAAGAGGTGGGAGTCCTATTAGTGCTTCCATTGCAGCAGTGGGGGTTGTTTTCATTTCACCTTAAAAAAATTAATTTTAAATATCTGAACGGTACTATTAGCCACAATGGCGAGCACAATGGCGTAATTTTTTAATAATTTGCTATATAATTACTATTATTTATGAACATTTGCATGTCTATAAATTACATTTCATGGATATAAAATAGATATCTACCATGGACTGGACATTCAATGGATATTGGGATGTTCAGTAGATATCCAAAGGATTTGGTGTGCTGTCTGGGAACATGTATGCTCAAAATCGGCTTAGTTGTAGCAGGTATTTATTAAATGAAAAACTTTTTTGTCTAAGTATAATTTACTTTTAGGATCAAGAAATCATTCATTCTTGGTTAGTCGATTTGCAATTTGAAGAATATTTTCCTCTGTTCATATCAGCTGGTTATGATTTGCCTACAATCGGAAGAATGACTCCAGAAGATTTGACTGCCATAGGTATTAAGAAGCCGAACCATAGAAAACGATTGAAAGCTGAAATTGCCCAACTCAACCTACCTGATAACTTGCCTGAATTCATACCGGTAAGTTGATTCCAAAAAAAATTTTTTAATAACATAATTTGTTAAATAATTCTTTATTTATATATAGTGAAATTTTGGTAATCTTGTAGTTTAGGAGGATTGTACTACGCATGTCTATGTATTATCGAACCGTCGAAATAAACGTAATTGTGAGTAGCCAAATATCTTAGGACAGCCCTGTGCATAAGCAGATGCTTATTTAAAATTGAGAAAATAATCCTTTACATTTTATTGAATCCTGAACTTACACACAATATTTTAAGAATATCTACTCCAAATATGTAATTTAATTTGAAATATGCTTCGTTAATTTAAATATTTCTGTTCAAAGGTCCATAATATCTCTCTCTTGTATGTACCTGTTCGTTTGGAATAATCCTTGGAACTTGAGCGATCGAAACAACAATTTACAACTTTTGAAAGTTTCAACTCTTTTGTTATGTTAAAATTTGTCTTATTCCCTACAACTACGTTTGTTCAGATCTCATAAACTGTTTTAATTTTCCTTTAACAGTGAATGAAATAAATTAATGCCTGTTGCGTAATACTTTCTAAGCTGATTATTCTTGTCAAATATGTTTCATAAATTCTTATCATTTATTTTCTTCGTCACAATAGCTGAATATAATGCTCATCATTAACACAAATCATTTTAAAGGAAAATAATTCCAAACTCGAGCTTTGATTTTGCTTACAAAGTAAACTTTGAGATTTCTTATTTTCTTTCAACCAACATCATGATATACAAGTGAATTTTAGACCTCTATAGCTTCCATTTGAGATTGAAAGTGAAAATAAGGACGACACCGGCCAAAGAATGGCGTTTTTTTAGTAAGCAAAATCGAAGCTAGAGTCTGAAGTGTTAAAAATAATTTACTAAACAGATGTGATCGATTCAAAGTTCCGAAAAACTCTCGGTTACATGCTTCGAATAAAAAGTAGTTTGGAATTACCTAATAAATTTTTCAAAATTACCTTTTACCCAAAGAAATAAGGCATTTATTACAAAACAAAAGAAAGGCTTGAAAGGAGTTGCAAAAAAAAGAAAACAGAAGAGAACAAAAGCAAATTAAATAGACTTAGAGCCTATATATTTAATTACTAAACGAAGATTAAAATGACATTAACAATTTTAATCTTCATTTAGTAATTTAAACTTCGTTTAACACACTGTGTAATCGGCCCTTAGATAACAGCTACGAGTAGAAATAGAAAACATTAAAAATGAGTCAACCAACAAATATCTGAGAGAGCTTACAGATGACCAAATCATTGATTACTCATAATGGAAAGCTCTCAAAAATAAACCAATTCAACACACACCCTCAAAACGAACAGAAAATGGGATGTGGGCAAAAAGTTGCAAACAGAAGGTTGATGCTTTTTCCAACTATTTAGAACGCATCTTCCACCCGAACCCAGGAGAAGGGGCAGAAATTGATTTCATATAGTTTTATTAAAATTTATAGTACGTAGAATAGCTAGTATCCATATCCAGCTAATATCCATGACAGATATCTGATCACAGGGATACTAAAGAAATTATTATCAAAAGGTTTTGATTCGAATTCAAATGTGAATTTTTTAACTTATACTACTAGATGGTTTTCATGAATCTCATTTTAGAGATAATTTTGTATACTACCACATGTTGTTAATCAATCTCTTTATTTCTTATTTGCATCTACATTTATATTATCACAGAATAAACAAAATACAAAAACAATTAATATTATTTAATTATTTAAATGTATATTAGAAAAATATTATTCGAATTTCCATACCAGTTCAATATTTTGAAATGATTTTAAAATAACAATTCAGCATTTTTCTTATTACGATATACACTGAACCTGAAATGAAATTGGAATAGTTTATAGTACCTGCATATGAAAATAAACATTTTAATTAAATAGAATTTATTTCATATACAGGATGTTAATTTAGCATGTGAATATAAAGAAAAATGTTCAAATCTGAACAGGTTTAGTCAAATTGACCAATATAATGAATGCAGTATTTAGACTTCAACATGTTCCACTACTATGGAAAACTGCTGAGGTAATAATGATACCCAAACCGGGAAAACCTAATAATGATATAACATCATATAGACAAATCTCGCTTCTACCTGTGATAACTATTTGAGAAATTGTTCTTAAGAAGACTGAATAAGATAATCGACAAAAAATAACTTATCCCGTCACACGTCCCATCAATTCAAATTTCGAGATAAACATTCTACGATTGATCGGAACCATCGCATAATAAATAAAATTGAGAATTCTCTAGAAGAAAAAATCGTTCTGCAATATTTCTTGATATCTCAAAAGCTTCGATAAAGTGTGACATCAAGGACTACTATTTAAAATACACAATTTTTTCCCGATGCAAAATGTCCAGTTACTAGAATCATAGCTATCGCAGCGAACATTTAAAGTTAAAATGGAAAACGAATACTGTCAATAAATATTAGCGTCCCACAGGGAAGTGTTCTTGGGCTAGTATTATATTTATCATACGCCTATGACATTTCAGAGTGCTACCTACTTTCCGTGCCTAAGCACCTGAGTTGGGATTTATATTAATCCAATGTTGGATGCCGACTAACAACAGTGAAGAAGGGGGTGAGTCGTAGAAAAAGTTATGTTTGTGAGTGGGCGCCAGGAGTTTAACCTCCAATAATCCAAGTGACAGTTCAATATCAAACTCCAAATAGAAAAATCATAAGCATCTCCTCTACAAAGACCTTCAAGCGGCTACAAATTGAGTATGCTCCTACTATATTACAAACGTTACCTTACCATAGGTTTTATTGACCAACCTAATTATGTAATCAAACATACAGTTAGCAAGTGGGGTTCAAAAATAAGAAAGATTCAATTTATATACCCAAATTTTAATATAATTATTGTGTTTGACCTGGAGGTCAACTTGTTCACACTTCCAAATATGACAATATTTACCAACTAAATGCTTAGTACATTAACGATTAGATTCCCCAACTATTAACAGTAATCCAGTATCACTGGGAGTAATATTCACAACTAAACGCTATATTAAGCTTTAAATAATTAAATGGGACTAGGGGTAATCGTAAAACTATAACACATGAGGTGTGTACTGTATTTATCGAAATAAACAAATAATAGTGTACTATTTACGGGCGCTAGGGGTAAAAAAAAACAAGTAAAACTCTGTTATTAAAAATATTTGTTACCCATCAGTAATATACTGCACGAAGAGCTCTTGGTGACGTGTTTCAGGTTTAATAAAATGTACTGTAAACTATACACCCCTAAACCTCGTTTACATAAGGTTTAGATAAAAATACGTACTAATAACCCACCAATAAAATAGATTAAATAGTAATATAGTAATAAGCAAAAACTTGCGGTAAACCGTGACTTCTTTCCAGCTGAGAAAAACTCTAGTAGAGGGTTTCCTACTATCTCTGCTTCGGCGTGCAAATCGAACTGCCTGTCATAAAGGTTGCTAGCCCGTCACACGAAGTACTAGCTAATCACAAGAAATACTAGTCCGTCACGGGAACTACTAGCGCGTACCAAGAAGTGTTGGCCCTTCACAAGAAGTATAGGCCCGTCACAAGAAGTGTCAGCCCGTTACATATTAAAAAAAACTTCTACGAAATAATGAAAACTCCAACCCACAAATTTTTTAAATTTTGAAAAACTGTCTCGGAAAGGTTTTGAACCTTCAACATTTGCGTTTTACGCACACTGCCTTGTCAATTCAGCCATCAGAACATTAGATGTCGGAGTCTAAGTTGTCAAATTAAACATTATATTCGAATCTCACTCAGTGAGAGAATAGTCTCTATTTTTTAATAAACCACCATCTAATTAATGCCTAACGCGGTTGTGGAGGATTCGAATCCTTCCCGAGTAGAGTTTCACCGAGACAAGAAATCTCCACATTCAAGAGTCTATTTCCGGGTCAAGAGTTGTTTCAATTTTTCAATAAATCTGTGTTTACATAAGGAGTTCAAAAATAGTTTTCATTATTTTGAAAAAGTGATTTGGGAATTTCCAAAAGAATAAATTTCTATCGAGGTAAATAGTTAGAAAAGTAGTTATTTTCCTAAAAGAAGTAATAGCAACTTTATTGGTACAAAATTTAAGTATAATAACAATATAAAACAATACATATTGTAAATCGTAAAAACGTGTGATTTTCGCTGATATTTGTTATTTTGCTATAGGTTTTGGTTTAGTGGTACAGAAATTATGTATTACTACAGGGTGTTTTTTTTTAAATCTCTTCTTTTAAATTCATCGTAACCAAATTTTATCAAATTTATTTTGTAAAACACCCTGTACAAATTATACATTTTTGAAAAGTAGAAATGTGTATCTTTCAGATGACTTAAATATATACAGGGTGTTCTATTTGATAAAATTTGGTTACGGTGAATTTAAAAAAAAATTTAAAAAACACCCTGTATAGGTAATACATAATTTCAGTGTCACTGAAGCAAAAAATAACACATATCAGCAAAAACCGCACCTTTCTACGAATAGGTGTTTAAAAGTTATAAGCTCTGAAAATGGGCTACTTTTCATTGGGACACCCTGTATAATATACATACAGGGTGTCCCAATAGTGTGTGAAAGTTCGATATATCCTATATTATAGAAAATATCAAACAATGTTATTTACAGAAGTTGTAGATAATATTAATCTGCACATTTCAAAAGTATTTTTGATTATACAGAGTGATGCATAACTTCAGAATTGATCAAACCTATGTTTTTTGAATGGATCACCCTATATTTAATTGTAAATTTGAATTCCCCTGACTTTGCCCTTCAAGAAAATACCAACATGTATGAGGTTATACTGGGTATTTTGGAAGTTTAAACCAATTTTATATGAAAATCGTACTAGGTTCAACCCTCTGTATATTTCAAAAGAAACAATCGAACATCAACATTTTTTGATGAATCATTTTTAATGATAGTCTACTTTTATAAGAATATACTAATTTTTCCTTAGCGCAACAGACGTGTACAGGGTGAGTCAAAACTCAGATACATGATTTTCTCAATTTTTTTTAAATGTAACATCCTTTATTTCATATCACTACTAAAAAGTACTCTAATTATACGTTCGTTTGAGTTAAATATTGCCTATCCCTAAACACAACAGTTTAGCGAGATTCTTAGATGAAATGTTAAAAAGGGTTAATTATAACTAAATTCACAATGTAATTTGATTTAAACTCCTGTTAAATATTACATACTAGTTACTAGTTAATCAGTTTATATTTTTAAGGTACCTGGTACAATTTTTTATCAATTGAATTTATTTTTTGGGACCTTTACAACTTTTTATATAAAATGCAGTAAAAACGCTAACAGAAATTCAAATTTTTTTTGTGCATTAGGTCAAGTGGGCTTTGAAATTCATGTCAAAAGAATAATTTGACAGTTCCGAATTGTTTAAATAAAAAAATAAAATTAAGTTTATTGTTCACAAGTATTTAAATTTATTGATTTGACTAATTTAAAAATGAATTTTGAAACGAATGAATTGACTGATATGATTTTAGTGCTAGGGGCTAGTGATGAAAATTGCTTGTTGGCAACTGGAATTCAGAAGTTATGGATCACTCTGTATAATCGAAAATAATTTTGAAATGTGCAGAATAATATTATCTACAACTTTTGTAAATAACATTGTTTGATATTTTCTATAAAACATTTGTTAAGAATATAAGGAAGAGGAACTATTATAAAATCTGATATTAATTTTAAATCCCCTGTCTGCAATTTGTCGTATCCTACGGATTTATTATTTTTAAGAGCTATAAATGTTTTTTTAACTTCAATTGTAGTTATATGTTCAAAAACAATTGAATTTGGACGTGATACTCAATTAAATTCTATATTGTTAGATTATATTTAAAATATTTAAATTTGGCGCTCTTATATTCATTCGATCGCCCATGCATGTGCGCCAAATAAGCGGTACGCGATCCAGAAGAAACGACATCACCGCGGCAGCCACTGCCTGACATTGATCGACAATAGATATAACAAAAAATGTAACAATATTAACGTTATTATTTATTTTAGCAGCAAGTTTTTCACCCGTTTGAACAAAAGCATTGTTGAACGCATTTGCTATTTGATTTTTTCAATTAAAATTTTACCAATGTCAGGATGTTTAATTCTGTTAATAATCTTTTTTTGTTTTTTTGGTTTTTGATATTTGCTACACAACATTCCAGAGATTTTTTGAGTTTGTTTGATTTATATCAATTTCTTTTTTATAGTAATTAAATTTTGTTTTATTTATTAAAGAAGTCAATTTATTATTTTTGTATTCGTTTTTTAACTCAATATTGTTTGGCTCTGTAATAGAGTATGTTTAAACAGAATATTTTTCCTAAGTGATCACTTGACGGTTTCTGTGACACAGTCGTTATGTTTTTCTTCTTTATTTATTTACAAACCATTTTAGTTTACCAGTCACTCTAATACTAATACGACAAAGCTTTATTTTTATTTTTATCAATAAAACCATTACTATTATGAGCAGTGATAACGCTATCGAATAATAAAAGCATTAGCTATCATTACAATTTTACACCCTCATATTCCTTAACAAAGAATTATTACATTGTCATCATTATTTCTTAACATCGTGACTTTCATTAACAAACATTATATTGTGTCTGTGTTAAAATTTTGAGGTCAAACAGGTGTTAATTCATAAATGTAGAATAATACCTATTGATAATTATTAGGTTCAGTGCATACGAACTATAATTAATAAAATTTAAACAGTGTTAATTATCTTTCACTGTATATTTCATATTATAATTTTTGAAGTGTTAAAAAAACATCTTCAGCACGATAGATTTTTAATTTTCAAGCGTATCTCTATTTCAAATCTACATCATACAGATTGTTGGTTCTGATAAATTTGATCATAGCAATTATCTATCCAACTTTGAACAAACAATTATCTCTTCCGGTTCAACTGGAAACAACTCCGACACGTTTAAATGAATAATTAATTCAATACTAATTTCTATTTTAGGGATCTCTGGAAGAATGGTTGAATTTGCTGAGACTAGATGAATATTTGCCGGCTTTTCTGGAACAGAATTATCAAACAGTAGACGACGTAACTCAATTAACATGGGAGGACTTGGAGGAATTTGGAATAGTAAAACTAGGTCATCAGAAAAAAATTATGCTAGCCATTAAGAGAATTAAAGACGTCAAGTCAGGAAAAAGGATACACACTGATACTAACAGAATATACGCTACTCAAGTAAGTCGACATACAAATTCGGTGCTCGATTTAATATCACATTAGAATTTATTTTATTTTATTAAATATAATTTACAGGTCTGCATTATTGGTTTTTAATTTTAGCATGCTTTTTATGATTTTTTTTATTGTTTGGATGCCATTTTAGATTTTTCATGAAATAGAATTTTGATCATTTTGATTTTTACTTTTAACATTTTTCACACTTTTACATAAACATTTATTACACGTTTGTAAGTAATTAAAAATTAAAAATGCACACTTTGAATATTATTCATAACATTGGTTTTAAAAAAAATACGCATTCATTCTACCTATTTTTATTTTTTAAGTTTAATTTTTATTTATTCTATTTAGATTATATTTACTATTTTTTTTTTAAATTCTTTAAATTTCTCATGTTTGTCGAAATACATTTTATATTCAAATGTTTAAAATATACAGGTACCTTCATAACATGTGGTTTAAATTATTTCTAAATTATTGTAATTACAATAATTACGTATTGATACGGATTTAATTTCATTAATTTTAATTTAAAACTCAAATAACACATTTAATTACACTACTTATATTTTTATTTATCTAACTTTGAACATGTTTTCATATTAATAACAAATATTTGTAATCTGAAAAGTTTTTTATTAGAAACTTCTTCAAATATAAAAAAACCAGTAGGTACTGCCTTTTTTTAATAATATTTCGCATTACTAAAATTAACAAAATAAATAAATAAATTAAGCAATAATTACCAAACAAGATGTCTATTTGAAAACTAGAATCACGGAATATACAGTGTACAAATAAAAAAGCAATGTAACTTGCTAATATTTCGATTTCGATAGATTTACAAAAAGGTTTTGGATAAACCTTTTATGAAATATATCAAGTTATTAGTATAAGTTACTTGGAAATAAACCGCGTTCATCATTATTCCAAAATAACGCTAGGTGAAAAGGAGTTGCGGTAACTTTTGATCAATAGGTCCATATCTAAAATAATTCAACCTATTTTGTTGCAACTGAACCCAAAAAATGTTGAATCATTAGCTATATTAAATTTAACTAAATTAGATTAGATGTAATAATTCTCAATAAATTCCAAAACCGAGTGATGTTAGGTTGGAAGTGGAAACAGGGCTTACACCGACATGGATATTTACGTTGTTTATTATAAGCGCACAGCGGCTTACACATTTATTCATTGACAAAAATAAGTTGTATCTGCGTAAAATTCTTCTTTTTATCCCTTCTTTTACTTCTTACCTTTCGCCGCCTCGTCCCGTCCCTACAAATAGAGTGTATCGATTGTCAAATTAATCTTGGCATCGTGAATATTATATTGCATCAATAAATGGTTATATTTCTGTTATCTCTGCAATTTCCCGGGGTACTTTTCTAGTTTCTAGATTTTTCTTCTTTGTTCCTCTGCTCACTTTTGTTTTTCTCTATTCTTCGACCTGGCCTCCTTTCGTTGTCTTTCTTTTCTCAAAAATTATCCATGGTAATGTCCAAAAAATTCGTGAGAATTCAAAAAACTGATTTTTAACTTAAATTTAGATTTCAAGATAGTTCATAAATTTTGATAACGTTACATTTTTCCATATCAATATATTTTGGACCGCAAAATTAACTGGGTATTTGATTTTTCTTGCTTTTTAAATTCTGGAAATTAAAAAAAAAAAACATTTTTATTTAACTTTGTTGACGTCTAGCGGCTCAACTTATTTTGAACCCATAATTGTATGGTAGCTCTATTCATGCGCAATTTCCTCGCGTTATTTTGTATTAATGGTACACCCGGTATAAATTCTTATTGACTTGGATTGATAACTTGATTTATTTCATAAAACTATTTTGTAAACCTATCAATAATTGAAATAGCATGTAACGTTACTTTTTGTACACGCTGTATACAAATCGGAATGATTTTTATATCGGCCACTTTTTATGATCTTGACGGACCGCTTAATCTATCTCGGCTCCTTATGAACGCAAGGATGTCTTTAGACAAATTAAAGTCTACAGATTAACTTTTATTAGTTTTGAAGAAACTGTCATACAATGTGTAATGTGTAAAACATTTAATATCTCAGATAATTTTATTCTTTATAAAAGCTGGTGCATCATCTACAGCCGAATATAAATTTCATAACTATTATACAGAGTGTTTCAGAATAAAGTACCGTGAACAGAAGGACTTATATTCTCAGCCCTTGATTCTACGCCAATAGGTTATCGTAATTTATCGATATAGAGTGTTTTAACTAATAATGACGATTAACTATATACATATTTGTTATCTTTTTGGGGTAAATTATTAAATAAATAAAGAATTCACTTTAAATAATGATTTTATTTTATATAAAATCTACAATAATCTCAAAACGATGCCTTAACAGAACTGAACTGATTCTTATACAATAATAATATTAATGTGTTGGTCATTCTTGAAATGTGATACTCTGTTTATCAACAACGTACAGCCACCAATACCAAGGACGGTTATCGTCTTGAATACTGGAACAGTGGCGTTTCATTATCAAGGTAGCGGGACGCTAACATATTTTTAAATTAAAGCCTTTACCGTAAGGAAATAAATTTAGAAAATTATCTTTTTATTAAATTCACTTTATTACCATGTGGAATGAAAACTGGGACGTTTACAGGAAAATTATTTATTAGCTTTTCTTAATAATTAGTTAAGATCTACAAATGCCCAGTTTATGGTACTTTATTCTGAATCACTCTGTATACCTAGTTTAATATGCCCTTTTTACATAGATTAATGAAAAAATTGACAATAATATTTAATTTATTTAATAAAATATATAATAAAATAATATCAAACACCTACAAAATGTATTGAGATAAAGGTGTATTAACAGACATGAACAGAATTAACTGATAATACTATACAGGGTGGCGCATCGAAAACGAAACTGAGACATTTACTGGCAGCTTAGTTCTTTTTTGGAAAAACGCTCAGACCCGTTTGTTTTCGAGGGGGACACAAAATTGACAAAAAATCACGTTAACACGTGCAGCCCCCTAGGTGGGGGTGGCACCATCCCTAAAATCTTAAATAGAATAGGGGGTCGAATGATTTATCATTTGAAAGGTCTTTTAATTCCCTTTATAATGATTTAAAATTCATGTACTTCTCGGTAGTTTTGGAGATACATCATCATTAGTGGAGATCAATACATTTAACAGCAAAGTAGTTTAAAAATGAAGAATAAATTGACCCGTCAGCCAAATAAATGACCACCATGACTCTCCATGCAGTAATAAAGATTTTACTGAAAACGTTGCTGCACATTTTGCAATATTTGAGGAGTAATTTGAAGGCACTCATTCACAATTATTTGTCGTAAATCTTCCAATGATGTTGGCTGGGTAGTATAGATTTTGCTTTTTAACCCTTTATAGGGCAAATTACTACAAACTGAAATCGAGATATTTGAACGTAATACTTTTATATATAGATAAACCAACAAAACACAAAATTTGGTACTAAACAAAAACACATATCTATTTTTTTAAGGATGTCGATATTTTAATAAAATTTACTGGTCGATAATCAAACCACTTCTTTATTAAATTAAAAAAATACTGTGACATCTGTGATAATACGAATTATACACTAAAGATTATGGAATAATGCAAAACAAGGAATACATAATGCAACTTTACACTTAGTATACTCTACATTGCGCTGCGCTTTGGTTTCTTGTCAGTGCTACATCTTGCACATCTTCGAGATGTAGTATGTGTGGGTAAGTGTTCTCCAACATTATTTAGCGTGACAGTATTTTCCACACCAACTGTCCTCCCGTCAACCTTTTTAATATTATTTTTTCCGACTACCAACCAGTACCTTGGGTTTTTTCTAGATGAGAAATTTCCAATCAGTTGGTTAGCGAGGATACTTCTAAAAACCGAGTGTGATTTTGGTTTATTATTGGGCTGATTTTGAGTGAAACTTGACTTATATAGGATGTGAGAGTTGACAATTGTGGCATCGACAAAATAGTAAAATAACTTCAGCCACCATCTTCGTGACTTCCATGCTATGTTATAGCAAGAGTGAAGTTGGTCAAATAAATCAACACCACCCATATGCTGATTATAGTCATCTATACTCTTGAGACAGTTTACAGTGAGTCTAATACCTTCTTTGGTCATGCGTTTTACAGTTGACTTCTCTGAGACCGTATGAATCGTGCTAGCTACTACAACACATTTCTTGCCTCTGTCCTTCCACTTGTTCACTGTAACAAAGATAGTACCGACAGAATCTAATTTTGCTGCTTTCAAGTGTTTTTCCTATTACTCCTCACTGTCCCACATCCAAAAATATTTCGATCTAGAAGTTTTGAGAGAAGTGAGAAGCTATTGAAAAAGTTATCGAAATAAACACAATAATTTTTGTTCTGAAATGGCCGTGTAAGCTCCAAAACTATTTTTCACCGAGAAGTCCCTCCTCCTGACTTTTTTTTCCTTCGTAGATCGAAAAGTTTAAAAGGTAGTCGGTTTGACTACAAGCTAAAGCCCACACTTTAAACCCTCTTTTAAAGGGTTTTTGGGGCATGTACTATTTGAGATGACTTCTACCCATAAAAGCAACCATGCTTTCGTCAACAGCTAAATTTCTACCAAGATTATAGCAATTCAAATAACTGTCTGATAAGTGGTTTATCATAGGTGTTATTTTATAAAGTCTGTCGAAGTTAGCATCTCCTCTCTTAGGCATATCTTCATTGATACTAAGATGTAGATTTTTAAAAATCTGTTTAAACTTATTGTATTAGAAATTCTGAAGCAATGAAAGTTCTGATCTGATGACCAAAATAAACGTAAGCTTGGCAAGGAGTGGAAACCCATAATAATCGAAATACCCAAGAACGCCTTTAGCTCTTCTACGATCAAATCAAGAAAAGTACTTTTTTGTAAAGCGTATCGGTTTGATTCGGACACAATTAGATCGAGAAAATCTTCTCCGAAAAGCATTAAAAAAATGTCAATAAGTGAATCTTCTACTACCACTTTTGGGCCAGTGGGTTTCTCAAAGTTGACTGCCTCGAAAAGGTGAGGAAAATATGGTTTTCTGCTCCATTCAAAATCGTTGTTTTTTGTTTGTTTATTGGATGAACGTGATTTTGGACGAAGATTTGCGAGGGACTCATTATCATCTTCATCAGATGAGGAATGTCTTGCTCTAGTTGCTTTCTTTGGTGTAGGGTGAAAATCTATTGAGTCATCGCTGTCGTAATCTAATTCACTGGCGTACTAGTTATAAATCAATAAATCTTCAAAACTACTGAACTGAAGTACATGAATTTTACATCATTATAAAGGGAATTAAAAGATCTTTCAAATGATTAATCATTCGGCCCCCTTTCCATTTAAGATTTTGGGGATGCTACCACCCCCGCCTAGGGGGCTGCACGTGTTAACGTGATTTTTTGTCAATTTTGTGTCCCCCTCGAAAACAAAATCGACGGGTCTGAGCGTTTTTCCAAAAAAGAACTGAGTAAATGTCTCTGTTTAGTTTTCGGTGCGCCACCCTGTATATAATATAATAAGCAAAACAAAAACGTACTTACTTAACTATTAAATATCTCAAACTCAAATATAACCACAATGTAAATTAAAAATATGCAGAAAAAGTGTATAATTACTATATGGCATATGAATTATTGAAATAAAACAAATATGTAATAAAAGAAGTTAAAGTCATTCCTTTAATAATATCTTCGATGGATGTTATTCCAAATGACTCAAAAGAGTTAAACCTATCAAATAGCATATACATTCAACATTAAAAGTCAGTGGTACTTGATGTCTGTAGGTATCTTGATCTACAGCAATACGAGTAAATCTGTTAAAAAAATAATAATGATAAATTAATTATTAACATAAAATATTTTGAATTGGATTATAAATATATATACCGGATGATCCGTTAAGTAAGACGTAATTTGAGCATTTGGTAGTTGAAGGAAATTGATTGATGGGGCAGGTTTTTTGTTTTATTAGAATTAGAATTATTTGTTTCTTAAGAATTTCAATTAATATTAAAAAAATATAATTGATATTAGCAAAAAATACTAATAAATGCCTTGAATGAAATACAAAGAGAAATAAAAAAAAAATATGTGAAGAAAAAAAATAATTTTATTAAGAAAATAATATACAAGACCAACTTAATGGACTATACGATTAGTTCGTAGGGTTATTACTAGATAGTTAAGTACATATTATCCGTTAGTAAACTAATCTTTTAATTTTAGGATGAGAAGTAATAGTAGATAGGTATAAAATAATTTGCGTTTCTAGTATGAATTAATTTTTTTGTAACAAAATTAATAAACGTTAATCTATAGACTAAAGACAACCTTAGTCCACAAAAAGATGAGAACTGGTTCTTATTGTTTAAAATTAAAAAAATGGCTGAATAAAATAATCGGCATCTTTAGTGGAATCATCAATTCCAATAAGAAACTTTATTTCAGAATAATTTCAAATTTATACCCTATGAAAATATGTTCGTATTTGTGTACCTCTGTTATTGGTATAGCAATAATGGCGATACCCTTGCTGCACTCTAGTTGCAAACCCCATAAACCTATGAACCCATACCTTTTACGTTTGCTTATGCTGCATGTTTATGTGTAAAAGGACGTGCTGGTGCACGCACCCGTGGACCTTCCATCGCCCGGTGTACCCGTACCCACAGTCCACAGCACTTTCCGCTCTTTTCACCAGCCCTGGGAGATCGACCAGACAAGGCAGCTGCAAGCGGGACCACACTACGTCCATCCTACATTGTTTTGCACTGACATAGTTCCTATCAAGGTACACTATTTTGAAAATCGACACTATATTGTTTTGTGATATTTATATGGCATGTTACATAGCATTTTCCACTGATCTTCGCTAACAAATTCAAATTATGTGTACGGTACTTATTTTTCCTATAGTTGTCAGTTATAGACAGTAATAAAATGCCAGGAACTGTAAGGTAATTTGGGTCCCGGTAGGTCCTATATAAAATATGAAAATCGATAGTCAAATTCGGTCCTAATAGCTCATACTACCTGAACCTTTCTGTTTCGGGTGAAAGTACCTGCTGTAGGAAATCTTTAGGAATTCCAAGTATTACAGTATGCTTGCCAATTTTTTTTTGCGAAGTCACCCGCGATGGCTCTAGACCGCACAGGTTAGGTAAATTAGTTTTTTTTTTAATTTTCCCTAAATAAATTTTAATTTAGAACTGATACTTAATTGCTCTCTTCTTCTACACAGATTAAGAAGTCCAGAATGTATGTCCTTTCTAATTGAAATGAGGTCAATAATTATTATTTCATTTCCAAACCATCTTTAAGGTATTATACCGTGACGTGTTACCATTTTCTTGAAGGTTGGGGCGCCAGTAACCACATAGGTCCCCATTATAAATATAAATATAGGGTGGTTCGTAAATAATGTCCAATTGTAGTGTTGGCTTAAAAATATTGCGATATGATTCAACTTTCTTTAATAAAATACTCAAGTTCGGATGACTGTTATTGGTATATTTTTATTTATAATTTTAAATTGTATTATAGGCGTGCCACATGAGCAATATATCCTATTAATACTCATTTTCCATGCTTATATTCACAACAATTCCAATTTTGTAGTTGTTGAAGCATTCAACGTATTAAAACATAAAACAACAATATTTAATTTTAACAATTAATATCTGGGCACAAAAATCTTAAAAACCAACCCTGAAGTACATTTGAATTCTCGAGGCCATTACGCAATCTGCGTCACAGCATACGTCACAAGTCATGTGGACACTTTATTTTAAAATTGTCCTGCTTCATTTTAACCCATTGAGGCGACATAATTTTAGCCATTTACAATATAACCGCATGCTAGACCGGAAAAATAAGTGCTTTATATTGTAATGTAATTCTGGCAATAGTACCGAATTAAGACAGTGGAATTTTCTATTTATCGTTGTTTTTTTGGTATTGTAAGAAACATTCAAAGAGAAAATAATTATACCAATGTTGATGAACATTTTAATACTCATCAGGTCACCACATGGGGCAATGTTAAAAGGGACAGTTGTCTAGGTTAAGTTTATAGTACAGTTTAAACTGAGAAACTTGAAAATGTATCTTATAAGCTATTAAATTATTTGTGCCCAACTTTTTTTCCCACCTAGGTTGAGTATTCTTATGCAAATATATGACAATTTGTTCGAGTAATACTTTCACAAAAGCCTATTTATGAATTCTAGGACTATCCAGATTTCAGTTATCTCTATTCACCCTCGAAAATGTATAGGTATTCTTAAGTTCTCAATGATATTTAAAATTTAAAAACCGTTTCATCATCAAACAAAATATCTTGGAATCAAACTTTAATGTTAATGATTAAAAAAGACAATGACGTTATCAGAAACATCTTACATCATACGCTTTGTGCATCTAACTAAGGTTCATTTGCACCGCTAGTTATTAAATTATGAGCCGAGCTTAAACTGACATTCAAATATTGCACCCAGTGCACCGGCCCGGGCATTCAGCTTTAAAATTTTCTAAAAAAACCCGTCTGTCCAAATGACGGGCCAACAGATTGTAAGAAATCTCAGGTGTCAAACTGCCGCGGTAACCACCCTGCTTACTCTCTCCTGTACAGAAAGGCAAAGCAACCCAAAACAAGTAACAACAGTTACCCTCCAAACCGCCACTCCCTCCTTGGAACTGACATCAGAGCTCATTTCCTATATCCAAATCTTCTCAACGTTGCTGATGAACCTTTAACCTAATTGTCAAGAACTTCTCACCAAACTATTTGAATCAATGGTCCCGGCCATCTTCGGCCATTCATGTACCATAACTGGTCATGGAAATTTAGCAATTTTCTCGTTCTCTCCAATAAAACCTTACCTTTAATAGATTGTCTCATTGGAATTATAAATTGCAGCAGCCTCGCTCGGAAGAGGCCGCTAATCAAAAACCTTTTAAATTCAGAAAACCTACAAATTCTTTCATTAATAAAGACTAAGTCGTAAACTCCCACCGAGATTCACTGGGTTTTAAATAGTTCATAAAAATAAATCCCAAACTTGCCATGGAAATGCTTTGTTAATCAAAAATTTAATTTCATTTAATATTGACATTCTCGCTGCTCATCTAGCAGACCTTGATCTAATCGCAGTGGAGCTTCAAATAGACAATCCATTAACGATATTCTCATATTACAACCACCCAGGCCAAATCATCTCAACCCTACTGATAGACTGTCTATTATCACTTTCTTGCGCCGTTTTGCTTGGAGACCTGAACTCCAGACATATTATGTTCGAAGATTATGTCTCAAATCCGAATAACATCCGCCTAGTTAATCTGCTAATAGACTATCCCATTTTCAGACTTCTGACCCTTGTATCTCACCTAGGACAATCTATTATCGACCATATCCTTCTGACAGATTTCCCTCCTGGACTAGTTGCTGATAAATGCTTCATTCATCACAGCTCAAAAGTCCAAAACACACTCCCATATCGAAATCGACGGTGAAATATACACAACTCCCGACGAAAAAGCCCTAGCACACAAGACACACTTTAAAGCCATTTTCAGAACCCCTGACAACCCCTACTTTGATGTCCGTTTCCGACACTCATCTTCCATCAGACACTTTCCGCAGCAGTCCCTCCATTGGATGTTGAGAACCTCCTCATCGCCCCGTTCACCTTCCAAGACATCGAATACGTCTAGAAAGCAGGCCCGACTTACATACATAAATGCTGAAACATCTTCTTGAAAAGGAAACTCCCACAACCTTAAAATTGCTCTCTAATTCTCAAGAACACCTACTCATCGCTGAACTCTAGGATCTGCTGGACTCAGCCCCATTATCTAAAAGATAAACCAACCCTTCCGAATCACATATAAAGACTGTGATGTTTGTTGTTTATTATTATTATTGGGCCTGTTCCAACAACGATCAGAAACCAGTCAGTTACACCAGGATTCTGCGCAGTAGATAATTTGGTGGTCCCAATAATCTACTACGCAGAATCCTGGTATCAGTGACTGGTTTCTGATCGTTGTAGGAACATACCAATTAGGCATTCCAACGACCTGTCAAACAATAGGTACCAGTGGGAAATTCTTGTATATTTAAGGGGGGTAGCGACATAGTCTTGCAACTTGGACGCTATTTTTATTCGAAGTAGTACTCGCCAAGCCTGCCAATTTATGAAGAAAGGTATAGGTGGGTTTTTTAAATATTATTTTTATTGTGTTTGACATAAAATATTTAAATGTAATCCATTATTCATGATTTTACGTAAAGTAGATAGAATACACCATATGTCGCCACCCTTAGATATACCAAACCTGCCCACTGGCAATTCATTTGTTTGGAATGCCTAATTATATAGTTGTAAAGGTTAGATAGCACACACAACATATGTGTATGTTGTGTTGCATACAAGTAGCACCTACTGTAATGAATGCACATACTTTGATTACTATATGGTGCAAGAGAGAGGTCCGACACGTCCAACATAGGGCGCGGCCATTTTGATTCATATGCCACAGTTTATAGCTAAAGAATCAGATCGCTCACTCTGCGTCGGCACTCTTGATCTCAATGTTCCAGTTTATACACTGCGCAACTCGGATAATACAATATATGGCAACCGCCTATAATAAAACAGCAGTCTTCTGTGTATCCTGAATTTGTATCACTGGAGTGGATGTTATTTTGGAACTTTCAACTGGTCCGAGTGAGCCACATACTTTGATTTTCTTTTACTATACGGAGAATGGTCGCACTGCGCAGCTTTCTGAGTGCCTTTTAAAAGGAGATAGAAAACTCCGCCATTTTGAACCCTTATTACGTGTTGCCTACATCTTGGCGCAATATTTTTAATAGGTGCGTTTTAATCATCCGCTTCTGCTTCGGAATTGTCGGTTTTCTTGTTTTAATCTGACAGGTTAAAACGACTAAACCGACAATTCCGGAAGCAGAAGCGGATGATTAAAACCCACCTGATATTTTGCTTGCTGCTGTCAGTGTCAGTGAATATTATTTTTGAAGTCACAGTTTATTGCTAAAGAATCAGTTAGCTCACTCGGACCAGTTGAAAGTTCCAAAATAACATCCACTCCAGGGATACAAATTTAGGATACGCAGAAGACTGCTGTTTTATTATAGGCGGTTGTCATATATTGTATTATCCGAGTTGCACAGTGTATAAACTGAAACATTGAGATCAAAAGTGCCGACGCAGAGTGAGCGATTTGATTCTTTAGCTGTAAACTGTGTCACACGGATCAAAATGGCCGCGCCCTATGTTGGGCGTGTGGGACCTCTATCTTGCCTCGTATAGTAATCAAAGTATGTGGAGTGAGCTAACTGATTCTTTAGCAATAAACTGTGACTCCAAAAATAATATTCACTGACACTGACAGCAGCAAGCAAAATATCAGGTGCGTTTTAATCATCCGCTTCTGCTTCCGGAATTGTCGGTTTAGTCGTTTTAACCTGTCAGATTAACACAAGAAAACCGACAATTCCGAAGCAGAAACGGATGATTAAAACGCACCTATTAAAAATATTGCGCCAAGATGTAGGCAATACGTAATAAGGGTTCAAAATGGCTGCGCAGTGCGACCATTCTCCGTATAGTAAAAGAAAATCAAAGTATGTGAATGAATGTTACGATTTTGTGGAGCGTGTGCTATACGCCTCCTGCTCAGTTCTCTTTATCATGATGGCCGTTAAGTTGTATGTACGTAAGTTGTATTGTGGGCAATAAAAGTAACTCTTAGGGTATTTGTGTATTGTTATTCACCCCCAAGACATTACAAAGACATTGTCATATTACTGTACAGTATCGTTCTTTAGGCTTTCGTGGTTTCCCTAATGGTCTAAGATCCGAAGTAAGATCGACCTTCGCCCATCTGTTTAATGGATGAAAGTTTCCTTTTATTAAATACAATATGTTTATTAACATTACCGCAAATGGGTGTCCTAAGAAAATACGGTCCAGACTATTTATGCTCAAACTTTAATCAGGTCATCGCAGGATGGATTAAAGCTTAAGTTTAAAATTTGGTGTTTTTCTCTTCATCCGTTTTTGAGTTATCTTCAAAATTCGAAATTTGCACTTTTCCTCAAATATCTCGAATTAGGAAAATCATGTATATGGACAAAATAATACAGAATGACATCATAAGCAACTTTTATCATGATTCCTCCACTTTCCTTATCTGTACACAGAAAGGAAAGTAAAAAATGGCTGTGACTGTATTTTCTTAAGCAACCCATTTGCGGTATATTTAAGAACATATTTTATTTAACAAAAAAATCTTTTATCCATTAAACAGATGAGTGAAGGTCGACCTTACTTACGAATCCTGGATTATCAATCATATTTCCCACCTTATACTATATGTGAGGTTGGAAATAGCAAAATTGACTATATTATTTTGGAACAACCTGTCACACAGGTGCCACGCACCATCACTTAGGTTACTATGTAATTAGGACATCCTATCCTGAAAAGGAGGAGAACTATAGCAGAGGCAGTGCAAATGGCAATAAATCACGTAGTTTAACTGGTGCTCTATCTACCGATTGATAGTCAAACTCCGGATGACGGTTACATTGCACGGTGCTTGGGAACCAACTTTAAATGAAAAGTTTATTTACTAGACTTTTTTTCGGTCAAAGTATTTCTGAAGGGCTACAGATTAGCGCAATATATTTTTTAAAATTGGTTCCATCAGACGTTTTTGAGAAAACTCGATTTTTAATGAAAAAGTGGCCTTTTTTTACTTTTTTGCTTGTAACCTGCGCATTTCACATTTTATCGGCTTGCCAAAAGTAAATTTCAATGGGAAAATGTCCGCTCTACAAAAAAGCATCAATGACTTTTTTCTCTAAAATCAGCCGATTTGAGATCTCATTTAACTCAAAATCGGTTAATTTTAGAGAAAAAAGTCATTGATGCTTTTTTGTAGAGCGGACATTTTCTCATTGAAATTTACTTTTGGCAAGCCGAGAAAATGTGAAATGCGCAAGTTACAAGCAAAAAAGTAAAAAAAAGGTAACTTTTTCATTAAAAATCGAGTTTTCTCAAAAACGGCTGCTGGAACCGATTTTAAAAAATATATTGCCCCAATCTATAGCCCTTCAGAAATACTTTGACCGAAAAAAAAGTCTAGTAAATAAACTTTTCATTTAAAGTTGGTTCCCAAGCACCGTGTCTCATTTAACTCAAAATCGGTTAATTTTAGAGAAAAAAGTCATTGATGCTTCTTTGTAGGGCGGACATTTTCCCATTGAAATTTACTATTGGCAAGCCGAGAAAATGTAAAATGCGCAATTTACAAGCAAAAAAGTAAAAAAAGGTCACTTTTTCATGAAAAATCGAGTTTTCTCAAAAACGGCTGCTGGAACCGATTTTTAAAAATATATTGCGCCAATCTATAGTCCTTCAGAAATACTTTCACCGAAAAAAAGTCTAGTAAATAAACTTCTCATTTAAAGTTGGTTCCCAAGCACTGTGATTGGTCTATACAAAGAACTTTGTTTGAATTTACGTTTAAGTTTAACACAGGCTTATAGTTTAAACTAAACCTATACAACTGGCCCTAAGATACAAGGTCTTAAAGCTTTATATTCAAATTGATTGTGTATAGGTCGTATAAACTAGCCATTTTTTTACATTTTAAGAAAAGTAACAAAACTAATATTTAATTAATTAATAATTTACCCAGTTGGGTACCGTTATTGTTGACTTTTCTGATTTCCTAAGTGGCGTACCTAATTAGTTTATTTTAAATTAAAGTGATTTAGGTCAATAATTTATGTTAATAAATATGTATTCTTGTAATCGATGGATTTAATTTAAGTTTAGAAACAAACTGTTTGCAGACTATCGCAGCATTGCTTTTAGACCAGCCTTGTTGGGTACTAAAATTGAATTAGCGAGAAAAATTTTCCACCAAATCGATTTTATGTGTACCTACACATTATGTTTTATGTTTATAAAAGTAAATTATAAGGTATACACAAAAATTGGCTGGCCTATATATATTTTTTTTTTCACAGAACCTCATTTCTAACAAATATGATTTTTTCTCTTTAAATATTTGTAATGATAAATAAACAATACCAAAACTACATCAACATTGTTATAAAGTGTTTGTAATTAACTAAACAACTGTATTTTTCAGATAAGAACAGGCCGAGGAAAATCTTTAGAATCGTTGGAAGATCCGAACGAAAGAACTCACCATACTTTCACAGCTGAAAATACCCAAACCTTCTATTGTCAACAACCAATAGGATGGCGTATAAGGTCTTACGAAGACGGAGACATAACACCTACAAATGAAACGGCTTTATTGTATGAAGGTGGTGGAACGCTACCGAGACCTCGTGGAATCATAAGGCCTAGGCCCATTGCCAAAATAACTGCAAAAGCTTGCGAAACGTTTCCCGATTTCGAAAAACCCCAGTTTAATCCAGAAAAATACGTCAATCCACAATATAAAACTTTACCCCGGGATATGATAGACGGAAACAACTATCATATGCAATACGGTAGTCCTATAATGGGAAAGAAAATTCCACCGAATCCTCCTAAAAGACAGGATAGTGAGTGTAACGAACAAACCACAACAGTGGAAATTCATCATGTCCAAACGTCTAGTCCCTTACCGCTTCCGGCTTATCCCAGTTCAGACAGTCTTAGTATATCGTTAGACAACCAAGGCGACCTTCCTTTACCTCCTCCTCCTGCGCCTGGTACCCCTCCGGGCCTTTCACAATGCAAACTTAATACATCCCAATCTTGGAGTGTCGAAGAACAAGAACTTATCAAAACGTTGGCGCTGCAGCATAGAAACGGTTCCGATGCAAGTTTTAAGGTAAACAATTTTTTTTTAATAATTTTCATTTGGAGTACACAAATTGTATCCTTCTTGTGCTATGGTCATATGTTTTATCCAGAGCTGGGCGGTACTCGAGTAAATTGTAATCAAAATAGTAATTGGTACTCGTGAGTACTTTCATCCTGATGAGACTTAGTACTCGAAAAATGGCCTTAAATTTTCGGGAATAAAAGGAATTTGCGCCTGAATATTATTAAATTTTTTGGTACAATATATAGCCTCGATTTTTATCAATGAGTTTTTGCACCAAATGCTTCAAGTGGTGTTATTTTCATGATATACCATTTTCTATATCCCGTTTACTGGAAATGATATTTTAAATATTTTGAACATTATGCATAGAAATTGGTCTGGTGAAAACAATTCGAAAACACTGTTTTAAAATTATCTTCTAGATCGAAATGTTCACTTTTATATTTGAATTCGATTTTTATTAAAATATTCCTATAAAGTAGACAGTAAAATTCATCTGGGAAGGCATTTAAATTCAGAGTGAGACACCTGAGGCAGTCGGTTAGAAAATTGATGTTTATCTTGGCTTTCTATATTCGAGATGCTTTCGTTCGATTTCAATATTAGATAATAATAAAAACTTAGTACGTGTTACCAATTGTAGTCTTAAACGTGTGACTGAAATACTAAAAATTTAGAAAAACAACTCGTGAATTTTGCAGCATAAACGTTTATGGCTCTAGATCCGTAACTACGGAACTACTTTTTATTATTATTGAGTAATAAACATTCAATATAATCTCATTCTAGTTCTTCTAATACCTTTAATTTCACTATTTTTTGGAAAGTTATAATAAATGTTTTTCCAATATAAGTATGATGCAAGCCTTATTTCAGTTGGACCACACTAGAATTTTTCAGTAATTTACCTCCGTATTTTTCAACATAAATGCCATCTTTAGCCTTTAAACAAAATAAATACATAAAAAGCATTAATTAATCCAAATAAAATTAAAACAAATAGAAAAATGTAAAGAAATACGTAACATATAAGACTCTGTTTTAAAATTTACTACTGGGTAATACCGCCTTTATTTTTTATAACAGCTGAAATTTATTGTGGCATAGTATTAACTAAGCCTTGTTAAAATTGTGGTGTAAACAAATCCTATATTTCTTGAAACCTTTGCTTTAATTCAGGGATTGTTCTAGCAGGATATTTCATTTCATGCCACAAAGTTTCGATTGGAAATATATCGGAACTACAAGAAATCCATTCCAGGATGTATATATCCATTTTAAGGCGTTTTTTGAAGTGTGGATCCTGCTGGAACAAAAAATCTTGTTTTCCTACCCATTTGTATGATATGCTACCCCAGAGCATGACTGATTTGACTTTTCTTATCAAACAGACCAAATGGAGTTTTTTACTTCTACTGTAGCCAACACACACTTCAAATCGGATCTAATCGCTACATTGCACGCCATTGTTGAGATGTCCAAACTTATGTTTTTTGCCCATCCTGTAACGTGGTCTCGTAGGCCTTAACTTAGACATACCTTTTTGTGGAGCATTTTACATTTATATCAGCTTCAATACGTTAGCTTTAGGTATTAGTAAAATATATTACTAACTACAATAATGAAAGCTTGTTCGTATAGCCAGCTGCGTTTTGTACAAAATTTATTACTTATAACGCCCCTGTCCTATAAACGTCGACTCTATTTTCTACAAGAATAATTTCACCAGGCCAGACCGCCAGGCCCTAAAGGGGGCAATTTGTATTTTAAAATATCTTTTGATAGCGAGTTCAGCATTGTATCACCTAGGCCCACCTCGAGTATATTTTTTAGTCTTAATCCTTGTTGGATAGTTTTTCCAGCAACTAGATGAGTCGCCGGTATGTGGGGTGTGATTACCTCAAACGAGAAGGTTACCGTTAGAAACCAGGGTTGTGTTGGTCAGTAAGGGACAATCATTATTCCTGAAGCCTTATTAATTATCATTTTTCTTAGTACTTAAGACTATTGGGAAAAGAGGAAATGCATAGAAATATATGTTTTCTCCCAAAATATAGCGAAAAAACGTCTGTTGCGACTGACTCTGAGTCTCGTGATTGAATATTTTTTAAATTTTTGGTTTAGGTTGGATACAAATACAGGTCTATAGTAGAAGAGTTCCATCTTTTAAATACCGACTTATCTAACTCCCATATTCTGTTTCCAAAGAAGTCCGACACGTGACCCCTATCTGCTTTATTTTCTACTAAACAAATATATCGTCGGCTTACTGCCAAAATTTTCCAAGTCAGATAAACAAACTTTTAAGATAAACAGTTTTAAACTAGTAAATTCAAATGTTATAAATACACAAACTTTTTTTAAGGAGGTCCTTTCGCCACCAATGTTAAATAAAAAATATTAGATTATGACTAAAATTAATTTTTTTCTAATAGTAGATGTCCTTATTTATCAAATAGTGAACTTTTAACTATACCTTACCGTGCAAATTTTTGAGAATTTTTTTTTAAAAATGTGTGTGTTTGTACAGTTTGTACAATCTAAATATTTCAAAAACCTTATTTTTAGTTTTTTTCTACTCCATCTAATCAATAAATAATAGTATAATTCGAGAATTGTTGTTGAGGACTTACTTTCTCGTGAGGCACTGTACAAATACTCACATTTAAAAATAGTTAAAAGTTCAGTATGAGATAAATAAGGACTTCAATTATTAGAAAAAAATTAATTTTAGTCATAATCTAATAACTTTTTTTTAACATTGGAGGCGAGAGGTGTGGCGAAAGGACCTCCTTAAATTAGTTACTAGCTTAGTTAATTTTTCCAGATATAGAGTAATTAGTTTTTAGTGATTTGGTCGATAAAAACAAAAATGAGATATTTTTGACTTGGTCACTTTTGGCAGTAAGCCGACGATATATGAAATTTAAGTAGAAAAGATAAAAATATAGGTACACGATGCTTGAATACACTAATTTTTTGATTCACACCATCTCCAAATATTTAGCAAATAGTATAATTAATATATTTATTGTATTAAGTCAATAGAAAATGTATTTTTTATCGTAAATAAATATGATTATTATTATTATTATAACTTCATCCATATATTTATATTTTATAGATAACTATACTGTCCTTTTTGTTTTCTTACATAATTACAGGGTGTCCCGAAATTAGACGGTCATATTTTAACAGCGTAATCTACATTCTAAAATAGGAGTAAAAGTTCATAAAAACATAGGTCCGAAAACGTTTTTTTTTTTTTTTCGGGATACAGGGTGTTAAAAGAGAAGTCCTGATGACACACTTTTGTAAATATTTTCTAAACGGTTGAAGATTACTAATTAAAATTTGATACAAATGCTTATCTTTTTACACTCTATTTAATGAACTAAACCCCAGTTTTTGATCAACTTCATAGGTGGAAAAATTAGGGGGGGCTTAGGGTAAAATTGCCCTAAGTTTTTTTTGTTGACAGTTTTTAATATTTTTGACTATAACATTTATAAAACCAATGTTTTCTCTATAATAAAGCTACTTTTGTTGCATTTCGCTAGGACACACCATTTTCAAGAGAAACGCATTTGAAGATTTCATGATAAGTTGATGTTACCTTATTCGAAAGTGTAAACAATAATTAGTAGGCCTGTGAAATCAGAAATTTTATTTTTTTTAATTTTGGAAAACCAGTAAATTTTAGAAAATATTTACAAAAATGTGCCATCAGGACTTCACTTGTAACACCCTGTATCTCGAAAACGAAACGTTTTCGGACCTATGTTTATATGAACTTTTACTCATATTTTTGGATGTAGATTACGCTGTTAAAATATGACCGTCTAATTTCTGGACACCCTGTATATAAAGTGGTAGTGGTTATCACACCTCATGAATATATTTGAGGAATTACAATTTTGAGCAAGACATTTTAGGCCATAATAGAATGCAAACAACTATAAATGATTAAAATATGATTTTCATATTATTAATAATTGTTACCATAGAGCTAAAACTTTTTCTTTTTCTAAACAATTGATGTATAAATGACTATATTTTACAGCTGGCATAGCAGATACCAGGAGATCAATATCAGGAACAAAAAACCCTATTTTACATTTTTTAATTTTGTGACTGCTTTGAAAGTAATCATCATCATTTTCTTTTCTTCGGATAGTAGGTACAATCGACATAAGATTTTCAGTATTTAAAAACAGTGAAGTCTAACCCTAACAAATTATAACTTTTGTTAGGACTTTTTTCGAAGTTTATTGTGAATTCAAGATTCAAGTTTCCTATCATAATTTTAGTTTGTAAAGCATATAATTCTGAATTCGTCATTATTAGAGCATCGTCTGAGTAAACTGAACAACTAAATGTCAATTTATCTTTGAAAGTAACTGGTTTCATAATTTTAGTCATTAAAGATTTCTTAAACATTTTGTAGATTTATGAATTGGTACTTGGAAATTAATAGCCATCTTTTAAGTCTGTACACATCGAGATAGCCAACAGAATGACTGTACTTACACATAAAAGTATTTTTTGATAATTTTACAATTCTTTAATCTTCCATTTTGAAATGGTAAGGTCAAATATGGTTATTTACTAGATTTAGAATAAATTATTTTTACTATTCCATTTTTTAACTGGGAAAAAGGGATGAAATAAACTACATTTTTTGATGCACCCTTGCCGTCAAAGTCCTTTAAGACATTTTCAACTAAAAGTTTGTCTTTAATGAACAATTTGTTCGTGGGGAGTTTATGTGAATGGAGTCTGGTAACCATTCAGGCAATCTAATACTAAGGGATTTGGTTTAAGGCTTTTCCATTCAGATATAACATTTTAATTCTCCTGCTTTTAAGCCTACCTTTAATATTTGTTTTGAGGATAGCATAGACGGGGATAGTTCATCTTCCCTTTTCTGTACAATAGAGGAGGGGATCTCTCTCCAGTTATTCTGCTCCCCCCTCTCATGGTGCAAAATGGGCCTCTCCAGTTCCAGAAATATTGAAAGCTGGGTTTTTCTGCACTGTTTTTATAAGTAGAGTGTTGTGATAATACATCACAACTGATTTGTCTATTACCTTTTGGGTTTTATATTGATTTCCAGGGTCACAACCATATTGTATATTGCATTATTTGTATTTTAACTATTATTTTGATTAATTTTAATTAAGTATATTATTGTATATCTTACCAAACATTATACCTAACTGAAAGGAGAGTATCTGTTTATATGAGCCCTGTCCCGTTTCAATTAGCACACTTCTCAAATTTATAGTGACTGTCACTACAAGAACAAATCATACATAAATCTGATAAATTCTTTTATTTTTTTAACCCTTTCACTACCACTTTCATTAAAAAAAAATACCATGTAGTAGATTGTATGTTTTCTTTGTTTATTTTAAGTAAATTAAAATATTTTCATAGTATTTTTTATTACTCCAAGACATAACGTCCCTGTTCAGGGACATTACAAAAACAAAAATTTACTATGAAAATAATTTTTTTATAATATTAATCCTTAAAAGTAATGCAAATAAAGTAAATAAACGAAAAAGAAAAATTTCTACCAAAATTAACAGATATATACTTCAGGGTTAATTAAGACAGTGTCCCTCTGGAGGAACAAATACACTGAAAGGGTTAAATATTTACAAATTTTCATGAGTGTTTCATCACCTTTAACTTTGATAACGGCAATAATTCATTAAAACATTGTATTTACAAGTTCTTGAAAATCTTGTGCAGGGAACCTACTCCATATTTCTAGATTACCCATTTGCTTTAATTCTGGCAGTGATCTTGTGGGTGCTGCACGCCTATGCTTAAAAATTATCACCCCATATACAAAAAAGCATCTTTATTAAATGAAAAATTAAAAAAAAAAAAAAAAAAAAAATAAGCTTTATTAAAAACTACAAAAAGTGCATCATTTGAAAATCCATATTCAAGCTTCAGATTTGTAAAATTAAAAAAATTCCAAATACACATTTAACTTGTTCGATTATGTATTGAATAAGAGGTCTGTTCCAACAATGATCAGAAACAAACCACTGGGTAGTACACAATTTTGCAGTCTCAATAAACTACTCTGCAGAATCCTGATGTAAGTAACTCATTTCAGAGCATTGTTGGAACAGACCTAAAGTAAATCGAAACCACTTAAAAACAAGCACAACATTTATACTCGAGCATAATTTTTAATTCCTATCAAAATTTTTAATTACTGAATATTTTGTTCTAGTTATATTAAAATTTAAAAGTTCTTACTCTTCATTATAATCATATTTTTTATTTTCCCTATTTACCTACATACTATCTCTAACATTTTACAAATTTGATGCCTAATTAAAGATTTCATCTAGCATTGCAGCATTTTTTAGAATATTTGATAAAGCATAGTAGTAACTGCCACTTAAAACTTTATTTCTAGTATTTGGTTTACGTAACAGAGACAACGCTTGCAAAAGAAAATACATACTTTTGTTAATTCAGAATTTTTAAATGTTGTTTTATATTATAAATCTTTCCAGGTATCCTATATAATTTTTTTATAATTTTCAATCAAAACTATTTAAAAACAAAAAGTTTAATAAAAAAATACCCATTATATTTAATAAGGTTTATGCTCTAAAACTCACTGTTCTTTTAATGGCAGATTTTTTAACCTCTGAGTAAAGTTAGGCGTAAGTATAATCTATAGCCTAATCAGCAAGTAGTTACTTTCAACTTTATTCAGAGGTAAAAACCTGGCCTTTAATCTTAACATAATTGTGGAGGATGGAGACTACATTTGCTAGGGATTAGGGAATAACGAAGATCTGACTACTATAATGACACTTGCTAAAAACTGTATAAGTTCTATGTACATGCAGATAGAACCATGTGAATAACTTTAGTGCTTCGATAACACAACATTGATAATTAACAGATGAACATATTGGTCACAAAAACAAATTAATTAATATATTCTACCAATCTCATTTTTTCCAAAAATTACAGTTACAACCTTGTTATTCTTTGAGATGTATTTATTACTGATACTTATTAATAAAAATAATAATAATTGATATACCTAGGTACTTACTGATCTTTGGAAACATATATACTCCAGTCCAGTGAGACTTATTCATTATTCTGGTATAATGCTATTTCACAGAAATGTTTGTAATTCCAATCACTATGTATGGATTTGATTATAGTAGGTATAAAACTAAATGTCTATTGAATATCTTTAATCTGGGCAATGAAAATCACAAAACTCACTTTAAAAATAATAAGCTTCAATCTGAGTACCATAGTACCATAGTTAAGGTCCACTTCTTCATTTTATAATCAGTAACCCACTGTATTGCTGTTTTTGCCAAAGCCAAAGGTAATATTTAAACACAAAACAAAATCAGCTGTTTTTTATAAACACCCCCATTTCACTTATTTAGTAGCAAGTCTCTGGCAGCAACTTGTAACTTAATTGGAGCATATTTATTAAATCTTGAACACTTTTTTTGATCGTATAAACGCACACATCAGTGTACCTTGTTTAAAAAAAACCATCAATAACAATAAACTTATTTGTTGACCAATAATTTTTTCATCTGTATTTCTTCTGATAGTTTTGTCATTTTTCATTTCATATAAACTCGAATTTTCACCATAGAAGAACTATTTTTATGATTGCACTTTTTTTGACAGATAAAAAGATTGCCGCAATTTTCCGCCGTAACGACACTAGCGAACCTAGCGGATTTTTGCCCTAAGTACAACCGGTTTTGGTATTTTTTTTTTCAGGGAGTTGAAACACCTTTATAGTACGTCGTGGTTGAAACCATCACGGCACAAAAAACGTTATAACGTGTGAAAGAAATCGGTAAAGTAGGTAGCATACTTTACTCTATGAACGTTGTGCCATCTAGCACCGAAAACCGGTACTACTAAGTTATTATAAAGTAATCTATTCGGACGAAGCGCTGAATATAATTATTTTTGTTGTATCTAGTATAAAGTCTATTTGCCAAACTTAAATTTTTTATGCGAAGTGCTTGTTTTGTCCAAATAAAAACTCACGTGAAATCCATTTAGATGGTTTTGAAGCTCATAAGATTTTCCATTTCCGATCCATTTTTAACAGAATATTTTGTGTTACAGTCGAGTTCCAGCACTGAATCTGATTCGCTGCCCTTTGCCAATGAAAATGCTGGTACAATAAGAACGCGTGCCAGCGGTAGACAAGCGGAATTTTCATCACCGAAACCTCGTACAGGTCTGCCGCCACATCCGTCCCCAACGCCTAATAGACAACAATCAAGTGCCCGAAACCAGAGAGCAGAACAACCAGTAGATGTTTTAAACGACATAGGAAATATGTTAGCCAATCTCACAGACGAGTTAGACGCTATGTTAGAAGAAGAAAAACGGCAACAGTAACTCTATTTATACTTTGTACAAGACTGAACATCAAATAATAATTTGACATACTTAATTTGAGGTCAGAATTTTATGTGGAGGTAACTTTTATGAGTTTAGGTTTTATCTTTTTTTCATATAGAAGTTTTATAAAAATTTATTTTATCTTTGTACATAATTTTTTTTTTAGATAGAAAGATATGTATTGTAAAATATGTAAAACTATTATAAAATTTAATATTTTTAAGCATTTTTTTAAACTTTAATCTAATTAAATTTTAGATGTCCAAAAAATTGTGATCTCTGATAGCATCATTTAAATGATATATTTTCTTTATAAATTATAGGGAAAAAAGTAATAAAACATCCCCAAAAAGAGACACAAAAATGCAGAGCCGGAAGAAAGGTGTTGTGCTACGTTTAATATTCGCAATAAAATAATCTCACAATAATTTGAAGTGGTTTTACATATAGTCTCAAAAAAAGTTTGAAAAACTTTTTTCTTACTGATTTTTTAGAACAAATTGTTGATATATGTTAATGCTTCACTTAAAACATTAAAGAAAATAATTACCATGTACGAGGAAAGTCAAAAAATATTCATTTGGATCGAGAGTAAAGCCAAGTATTGTAAAAAAAATAGAAAAGTGTTATTTGGAATAATATTTATTCCCAAATATGAAATATTTTTTCCTTGTAGCAAAGTTCGATTTATTATATATGAAATTATTTTCCACAGATTATTCTAAGCATATTTAATGATTTTTTTAGTTTAGTATGTTCATGTTTTACATAGTATTTAAAATGATATACAATTACGTGTTTTCTTGGTGCAGTTTTTACCTATTTCGCTCTGTATGGGGTGAAATGGGGGATATGTGTAAATTTTATTTTTTTTGTGAAATAATTTGATAATTTGTATTTGTATGATAAATAATTAATAAATTAGTATATTCTTTTGCAACCGTTTGTTTTATTATTTATTGAAAACGATGCATATAGAAAAATGTATACATATAAAACACGTAATTGTGAACCTTTTAAGTCTATATACAAAATTAAAATAAATCTATTATTTTAATTAAAAAATAATTAAAAGATGGGGGGAAACTCAAAGTTTTTACAACAGTAGAAAAATAATTTATTATGTAGGGCGTAGGGTAACAATCCTTAGACGGACATAACCTAACCTTACTCCTTAGCTTCTTATTTACTTTACGAACAAGTCATTAAAAATATAAAAATAAGTAATAGGGTAGAAGAAGCATCAGTAAATGAACGGTTAAGACCTTCTTTATTTTTAAATCATGCCTATAATTTTACCACAACAAATATTTACAACTAAATTTCAAATTACAAACTAAATGTGATATATTTATGTCGATATATTTAATACCCCTGTAGATATGTTTCTGAAAATTAGTTCGCAGTTTCTGTGCATCCAAAGCCATTTTCCGATACACAATTTAAACTTTTACATTCGAAAAAAATAAGTTTTTTTCTTATAACTTTACCACCCTGTAGTTCAAAATCTAAGAGGCGTAAGACATATGTTCATAGGAACTTTTTTGCTTCATTTCATCCAAGGGACACGCCTCTGAATTTTTTCGCAATATTAAAAAAACACCCTGTAATTTTAAGACGAAATTTAAATTTCCCGCCAAAATCGTAAATTTCCAGCAGCGGATTGGCGGGAATTTTTAAATATATTGATTTGGCAATAATTGAGAAGTATATTGCATGTTCCATTAAACGAGCTGTAAATTCAGGCGCTATTTTTATTTTGATAGCTAAAAATATAGTACGAATTCTTTTATTGTTAGCTATTACAATAAGAGCAGCGTTTGGAGTAACAACACATTTATATAAGAACATGTAATATACTTTTCAGTTTTACCACTTATTTTTTACCTATAGAGGTTAGATCTGAAAAAAAATTGGCTCTGGTAAAAAAAACAAAAAGTTGTATAAAATATTTGATTTAAAAAATTATAAAACTTACTTAATTTATTTTAAAGCCGAGGATAACTCTAGCAGTATCAATTTTACTGAAAAAATGAAACTATTAAATGAAATCATTTAGTTATTAAAAGATGTTTATGATAATACAGTGTCTGCTATCGAATGTTTTACAATACGTTTTGCTAATGTCCAAGTAAAAACTACAAAGAATTAGCATTAGCGCGAGAAGGAATGGAATACTATGAACATAGCCAGCCATCTACGTGGTGGGGATGCATCACACCGTGCGTCTGTTCATATTACACAGCACACAAGGCAACATTCATATTCGTTTCTTGATAGCGCTAATGCTAACTCTTTAGTTTTCTCTTCGATGTTAGCTAAGCGTATTGGAAAGTGTTCATTAGCCGATACTGTATATAAATGCTAAAATCAATAAGTGAAATAAAAATTTTTACTTTAAATGGACACCGAATTCGAAAAAGCAGAAAACTAAAATAGTAAATTATTATACTTGAATTTTAAAGGCTGTTGCCATTAGAAAACTATTATCTAGGGCTTGGATGACAGCAATGGGACTCCCTCCTTGAATCGTGCCCATAAGAAAGCATAAGATCTTAGTTAAATTATAATATTAGAAGGTATTAACTGAAAAATATGAAAAATTATTACAAACACCTCAAAATTTGCATCTACATTAAAAGAAGGGAAAACTGAAACATTAAATTGTTATACTTGAATTTTAAAGGCCTTTCCCACTGGAAAAGTATTATCTAGGGCGGAGACCCTTAGATGACAGCCATAGCAATCCTTCCTTGAATCCTCTTTTTCTGAGTTTGTATTACGTTTCGCTTTCTATATAAAATAAGTAAGCACTTAATACAACAACACAAATCACAATAAATATCGCTGAAACAAAATTAATATTAATAATATACGGTATAAATTTCGTAGAAGAAAAAATCAAAAAATTATCACTTGTCAATACTAGCACGTCACTTTTCGCTTGTCAAAAACTTCGTCTTCAACCAATGAACGTTCCGATGTCAGACGTGTCAAAATTCAAAACGATACTAGCGCCATGTGGCTCTGTGTCTGGCCGCAGCGTAACTCAAAACCATTTTTTGAATACCAGTAACATTACTACAGGAGTAGTGGTGGAGTCATAGTTTTATCCTCGTATTCATCCTCTACTATATTAACAACTATTCCGGAAAAGTACTTCTTTTGGTATCTGACTATTACGTAAGAACCTATGTTATAGTGGCAATGAATAAGTTACATTTTTAATATTGTTTTTATTTTTAGAATAATAATGGATAATAATAATAGATGTGATTAAATTTTTAAGGACCACTTGCAATTTTCTAAAAATTTAGGTAATTTTTCGGACCCAACACTTCAACACTTTTTAGACAAGTCTGCAGTCCTGTTTCATCTGCATTAAAAATTGTATACGTGGATCATTAGGTCTTTTCCTTTGCATCGGAAGTGTAGCACTGAGTTACGCCAATTCTGAAAATACCGTTTCATCCATACAATTTGTATAAATGGAACGATATTTTCAGAAGTGGTGTAACTCAGTGCTACACTTTCGATGCAAAGGAAAAGACCTATTTAGTATGTCTGTGTAATTTTCATCTTGCAAATAGTCATATAATTCCTGAAACCAACTTCCAATTGCTGCTTCTATAACGGATTCTAGAGACTGATTTCAGTATTTCGAATGGTTATTCACTGGGTTAACACAGGTTCCAATGAATGAATGACATATTTTTTTCTTTTCCCGCCAATACACAAAGTTTTGAGGTTATATAGACTCGTAAATACGTTAGTTCAGTGTGATGTCATTTTGTTTCCACTAACATTTAATTCTAACCAAACTTTTAACAAAAACATCAATAAATTTGACATATACGTTTTTAGTTTATTTCTAAATATTGTTTACAGGTCATAAAAAATAGTTTAAAGGTATGTATGTAATTGGTAACTGAACGATTGTATATTTGATGCATGTTATCTACTTACTTTAGGAATATATTTATAAAAGTGAAAAAACGATATAATTTCGGTAAACAAAACGCACTCAAAAAATCTACTGTCACTTTAATTGTCAGTGGAACCATAATTACATCATCACTAAACTAGCGTATACCTGTAACTGTAAATAATATATAAGATAGACAATAACTTTAAAACTTAGGAATGTAGAAATCTTATTAAGTGCTATTTTTACTTACATGGTTTATTAGGTCTATACCTCCACGAACAATCAACAAATCTATTGCTACACACACGACTATACCAATTATTTTCTGAAACCGAACTAATTGACGCTTTTGATAAACAGAGATAAAGAGTTTAGAATCATATAAAAAACCTATATGGGGTAGAGAGATGCAACATAATCTTAATAATCGCGAATTAGTTCGAAATTTTTCATTTACTGGTGCCGTTCATTCAGTGGTGCTTCTGCCCTAATACATTAAACATTTTTCTCTTTCACTGTACATTTCCAGAATATTAAGAGCCTCGAAATGTTTCTTTGGAATTTGTTTAACAATGGCATATAATGAATTTGTTAAACACTGATGAGAAGGAGAAACATATATATTTATCATATATTTTTTTATTCTCTATGGAAATTATCACTTTTCTTTATTTTGAGAAATTTATCTTGCAACGTCAACATAATGTGATTGGGTTGAAAAGCTAAATTATGCTCTAAAATAAACTTTAGTTCTTATTAAAACTGTAGTTTTAAAAGAGCCCTATCGTTACTAGATTAAATAAATTATAAGATTTATGTTGAATAATTGTATAAAATGTACTTAAAAGGTTCTGGGATCAATTTAATTTAAAGGATAATCCTAAAACGTTTTAAAACTAAGTTTTAAAACCTACTTAAGGTAACTGCTAAAAAATATGCCTCTTTAACACCAAACATACCAAACTAAATAGTTCTAAAATTACTTATTAACGAACCCTTCCAGGACAACGATATAGCATAATTTACTTTAGGATAAAATAGTTTTCTTAAAAATCTATAAAACTAAGCAATAAGATCAATTTATCCTGCAGTCCTATTAGCAAAAAAAACTGTCATAAAATAATTATTAATTTTTATGTCTTTACAAAATC